AGTTTTTCCATCTTGCCAGAAGCTCTAATTTATACCTATTAGTTATTAATTTTTCTATCACAGTTATCTTACATGAACAGCCCCCAGAATTCCAGGAAGTTATCTGTCCTTGAGCAAGAGGGGCTTACAGATTAGAGGCATTTTTGTTTTCTAAACTTAAAACATAACTTTAACCACCACAATACCTTAAAGCAAATACTTTGAAGGCAGACAAGTAGCAATTACCTTGTACCGCATGCCAGCTCAAGAGACATATTGAGTACAGAGTAATTGCTATTGATTAAACTTGTAACTGGCAAAATTCCTACATTTTATCATAATATATATTGAAGAACCTCATGACAGGAAACTCAATCTTAGGGTAATTCAAAAAAGAGGGGGGGAATTGTAGAAGAGGGAATATGGAGACAGTAACAAAAACTAAAGACCTTTAGGAAAAGTCATTTGGAAAGCTACTACTGTAAAAGCTTCCTAAAAACATATGCATACATGTTTATAAAAGCAGTCTACTTATTTATTTATTTGGTTTTTCAAGACAGGGTTTCCCTGTAGTGTTTTGGAGCCTGTCCTGGAACTCGCTCTGTAGACCAGGCTGGCCTCGAACTCACAGAGATCTGCCTGCCTCTACCTCCCAAGTGCTGGGATTAAAGGCATATACTACCACTGCCCAGCTAAAAGCAGTTTAAATGGAGTTACCCTATAATGGGGTAACAATACTCAAACAAAACCCCATGGCCAGGGATGGAATACCTCTTTTGGAGTTATTGTCTAGTGAGATCCTGAAAGACTTTAGTTTGCAAGAGTAAGGATGTAGGAAAGGGGCAGGAGAATAGTTCTTGCAAGCAGAATATAGAAAATCACAAAGAATGGATGTTGACATGGGTGGAAAGATCAGTAATTATGAGAACAAGAAAGGCTGCTATGGTATGAGGCTAGTGGTTATATGCTAGGCTGATCTTGTAAAATAGGGCTAGTTACTGAATCATCAAACCTTTGTGGAATAACTGAAGGCTCTAAATGTACAGCCAAGAGAAAACCAGAGTATGAAAGACTTTAGTTTGCAAAGAAAAAAAGGGATAAGAGGTTTCTCACAGGTCTTGGCCCACAACAAGGAAATAGGCCCCAACCCTGGAACAAATAGTTCCAGATGAACAGCCCTGTCTGGGTCACTCATGGCCAATGGACTGGTTCCAAGGTACATTCTATGGTTTTTCCTTTTTCCTTTGAAGAAAAACAGGTCACACCTGGGTGATCTCTCAAACATGATATTATACTTTGTAATCAATCACCTTGTGTCCCATGCATGTATGCTGATTGGCGGTTTTTCCCTATAAAAAGAGCCGGAACCCTTTGAGGGGTGTGAAGCTTTCCCTAAGATTGCTGATTCCTGAGTGTGCACTTGCTCAATAAACACCTCTTACTTGTTGCATTTCCTGATTTTGGTTTTGTGTCTCGGGATTCTCCCATCGGCCCATCAGGACCCCGAAATTAAGGTCTTACAGTCCCTTCAGACTCTGAACGTGACAGGCTGTGGCCAATGCCTTTGATTATCTTCCAGAACTTGACAGAAAGACCCTATTGCTAAAGATACCACACACTTGAGTCAGAGAACATGGAGAAATCACCTTGTGCTGATCTGGAAGCTTCATCCCTACTGCCTAGCTTTTATGGAACTCTAAGGTGCTATGCAAGCTGAAGAGGAGAAAACTAATCATCAGTTCCATCCATCTGTGTATGCTGAGAGCTACAATACTGCCTGATCTGACAAGGTATGTTCAATGGGGCAATAGTGGCACAAACATCACAGGTGTAACCAGCCATTTTCTGGCTGAATTTGAATCCTGCTTTACAAGATGAAACCCATACCTAGCAATTATCAGGCTAATAAATTATGGATAGACAGGACATTGACCCTAGGGGAGAACCTGCCGTTATTATCCTGTCAAATGGGCATAATATTAAACTGACTCCTAATGCTTTGTCACTATACCCGAATGTTGGAACATAGTCCAATAAAGAAGTAGTGTGAGAATTCAGAGTGCTTGTGAGAAAATTCTAAGAAAACAAGACATGAGTCTTTGTGGCCTCAGTTTCTTTAAAAACATGGAATTTTTCTTGGAATGTGTTTTCATGCCTCTCCTCGGTATAGCAGATAAGAGTGAGTTTATATTATTCATTACAACTGGCAGTTGTTATCTGTTTATATGCCTCTATGCATAAACATGTTTTTGCCATATGTGGCTTGTCCTTGTGATTTTACTCATGTAAATTGTCTGCTGCTCTGAATAAAGTTGGCTAATACATGAGACTTTAGTCCACCTTGTTTTTAGGCTCCATTCTCCCAGGTCCCAATGCCTCTAGAACAGTTAACACACATAGATTGCATCTCTCAGCTGCCATCAGGGAAGCTTCTTTTTGCAACAGATGGTGAACAACACAGAGAATAAGACCCTTCAGAGTGCCTTGCCCTAAGTGGAACATCTACATCATACCCTCTCCTTCCAAGACCTGTACAACCTCAAGCTAGACAAAATCCTAGCCTACAAGGAGGAATTGGGCACAGAGTTCAACCCCTAGCTGAGGAACTATTGGCAACTAATAGCTTCTGGGAGAAAAGTGAATTTTCTTTAAGGCTATTATAGGGCCAGCCAAAGAAACACACCCTGACCTTGAAACCAGAGCCAAGAAACACATGTTGGTCCTGAAACCAGAACCAGTAAAAGAAATACATCCTCACCCTGAAACCAGAGCCAATGAAATATACTCTGTCCCCAACCAGCTCAGCACAAACAAGCAAGCAAACAAACAAATAAACCAGCCAATCACTGAGCACAAAATCCAGCCAATCACTGAGCTTGCTCAAACTCAGGGATTGAAATTCCACAGATTCCCACCCTGAAAATCTTCACCCTCTAAGAAGCCCTATCTACATAACCCTCCCATCCCCTACCCCCACCCCCACCCCGTGCCTGTTCAGTTGGGGGCTGCCTTTTTCCATCCTGGCAAGGACAACCACACTCCTGGACCCCTCCCTCCCAATAAATTTCTTGAAAGAAGTTTGGGTGAGACCTATCACCAGAATGGAGGAGAAGGAAGTAACTATTTTTCCCTGCTGCCAAGAAGAGCAGAATTTTAACACTTTCTCTGGGGAAACCTTCCCCTAGCCAAGCAGAATTGTTACATTCAAGAGAATCTGAGCAGAATTGTAACAAGTTCTCTGGGGAAACTGGTCCCTGGGGAAGAGTTGTTGTACTCTGGGGGACCAGACACAACTGTAACAATTTCTCTAGGGAAGCCCTCCTCTGCTCATTGGAGGAGCAGAGTTGCTACATTCAGGAAATCTGGAGCAGGGCATAAACTGCCACATTTATCGTGACTTTGTGGTACTCCCTGGCTCCTGACTGCCAGGATCCCTTTCCATCCCAGCTGCATTGCTTTTTGTTTTATCTCCTGGTGAGTTGACCACCCACATTCAAGACTATATAGGCAGTACAAATTGGATTTGATGGTTTTAAAAATTAAAATGAGGATCCAAAGTTGGTCATGTAGGGAAACTATAATAAATCTGGAAGGAGTTAGAGGATTAGAGGATATATCAAAATATATCATAAAATTCTCAAGGACTAATAAATGAGATTTTTTAAAAGACTTTTTTTTGCCAAATTTTTAAAAATGTATTTATTTTTATGTGTATCAGTGTTTTCCCTACATGCATGTCTGTGCAAGGGTGTCAGATCTTGGGAGTTACAGGTAGTTGTGAGCTGCCATGTGGGTGCTGGGAATTAAACCCGGATTGAGTGAGCAGCCGTTGCTATTAACTGCTGAGCCATCTCTCCATTCCTTGAAGAGATGGTTCTTAAAATACAAAATGAATTTTAAAAATAACTGAATTGTGTTATAAAGGGGACATTAGGGGGAGTGGTAATGATGTGGACTATCTTTCCTATCAAAGGATTAAATGTAGGCAAAGGAAGTTCTTTCTTTAAAGAAGATTGTGAAGACACCGCCAGCAAAAACACCTCCCCGAGTCTCCCTTGTTTTTAATCAAAGCATGTGCTCAGGAGTGAATCATATTCTCAGAAGTTGCACTTTTATGATCAGCTCCGCTGTTTTGAATTAGTTACATAAAGAATTTGAGGTCAGGTTCTGACCACTCAGTGTGGCATAGGACCTATACTGATATACTTGCTGAAGTATATCTGTTCATCCATCTACAGAAGTAAAACTTTTGCCTTGTAGAAATACCTCAGATTGTGTGGTCATGTTTTTGGGACCCCCATATCCATTTCTAACAGCACCACACATTGTGGGGGCACAACTAACACTCAGAGCTATCAGCTGAAGAATTAAGGAAAGAATGAGGGACGGGGTATGTAAGTATACCTTGAGGGTGTTGTTTTCACAATTCTGAGTGGGCCTCCCCCACATCACTTCAAGACACCTGGAAGTTTTGCTAAAGACACAGGTCATTTATTATGGTCCAAGAAACAAGAAGAGGAAAGAGAGGTCTAGGAAATTCCCATAGTGACATAGCCCAGGAGTGTCTGGACCTGTTGGCTAAAAATAACCTTACCCATAGGCCCCTCTTTTAATGTCAGACTTGGGGTGTGGCTAGGGGGATTTCATGGGGAAGGAGTGTGCCCTTCCTCTGTCCTCTAGAGATCCTTGCAGCAGAAGCTAATTGGCAGCAAATGGTATGAGACCAGTTCTTTTCGAGCAGTGCTTAACCAGCTGAAGGAATCGACTGTTGCTCCCTGACCTGAGTGGTCACAAGCATTGACCCAACACCTGCGGGCAAAAGCCCACGGCAAAAGTGGGGCTGGACTTGAAATGACCACTGGTATCATTTCAGTAGGGCTGTGCATTCAAGATGAGTAGACAGCAAAATGATACTGAGTGGGAACGGGAAAGAGGTGCTGACAGTTTGACACAAGCAAAATGTGTGTGAGTGTGTGCATGTATGCATGTGTGTGTGTGAAGATCCAAATCTCTGAGATAAAAAGCCAGCATTAAATTTGAAAGGAAATCTAGTGTTTTTGCAGTGCAGTCACTTAGAGAAAATGACTCACGTGAGAAGAACAGATGTTCTCACTGGCAGTCAGTGCTTGATGCGCACACTGAGAGGGTGCTTTCGTTGGTGTGGTCTTTGGCCCTATGCTGTTGGGTCTCTTCATGATGAGGTGGTCTGGGGGAGGCCACAACCCCTGACATCAAGCATAGTAGACATGAACAAGAATCAGAAGCGCAAACAAAAGGATCCCGCTAACATTCACAGCTCTCTTCCAGAAGGGGCTCTCCGGCATGTCACTCCAGTCTCTCATCTTCTCTTTGTGTTCCTCTTCCTCTCTGGTTGCTATTTTCCTGGCCAGAGCCTCTAAGCCTGCTGATGTGTCACTGGACCCCATCTGCTCCCAGGATGCCTTTATCTTCTCCCCAGTGGCTTTCTCAGGGCCTATCTTGGAGCTTGGCTGTTTGTCGAGACCACAGAACAAGTCCCAGGACTTCCAGAAGCAGTTTTGGGCCTCCCCAAACATACCTGGAAGACAGGGAGCAGAAGGTCAAGGGACAAGCAGAAGGTAGGACTTGAAAGGGAGGTCCCCTTCACCAGGATGAAATTCCTTAGACTCCTAATAGGAAAGCCCATTGTCAGCCTATCCAAGGAACGTTCTCAGAGAAAACAATGAGACTGAGGGGGAGAAAGGGGCTTAGGAAGTGTTGAGTGGGCTGGAAGTTCGGAGTTGTGCCCAGATCCTCTTGATTAGGCAGCCCAAGTAAGTGTTACAGAACTGTAACTCACTAAATTACATATGTCAATATGCTGTTACAATGTCATCCTCCATTGCTGTGGGTCTAGAGCAAGTGGTGGCCCTGTGAGGTCATTATGTTATGCTTCGGAGGACAGAGGAAACCCTGTGGGTCCTGGAAACAGACATCGTTCTCTTCAGTAACATCTGGGGTGTGTCTTCTCCAGGAAGCTCTAGTCTTCTGCTTGGCCAGCAGAGCATCTGCAGATCCCTGAGCCCTGGAGGAACGTTCTACGACTCTCTGTGAGGAGAGCCTGGTGACTTCCTTTCTCCAGGACTCCTAACTGGAGCTGTGCATTACTCCAGTGACTGTCTGCATTGATGGTGCAGGCTGGACCCTCAGAGCCTGTGCTGGCCAGAATCAGCACCATGTTAAGCTCTATCCCACTACTCTCGGCCCAGCCACTGCCTAGAATGTGACCTCCCAGCCACTCCTGGGAACAGGGCAACCCCATTTCAGTCAGAGCTGGATCCTGGCAGTTGTGCTGCGATTTCTGATGACTGTCAATCATTGAACAGTCTCACTCCCTGCATCCTATGGGCCTGCAGACTCCTTTTCTGATGCTATTTGCTGAAAGTCTCTCTCAGGCCTTAACCCTCCACCCCACCCCATCCCACCTCCCCTGCCAGGGACACTTTCTCCTTTTTCCTCAAACTGAAACTTAGGTCCCATGCAGATCTGCTTCCAGGTGGGGAAGTGCCCTTCCCTCCTTGCCCCTTCTCAGGGTCCTCTGTTTTAGAATTCTGTACTGTTGCCCTTCGCTTATTCCTCTCTCAGACCATATTCCCACTTGCTCTGTTGGAGGCACACCATGTGTCTGTGGGGGCTAAACCCAAGGGCTGGTGGTTCTTGAGACTTCACCCAGCACCCCTTGCTGTGAAATGTTTCTAGAACGCCAGACATTCTTGGATTTCTTCCCCCCTTTCCTGTGTCTCATCACCTGGCTTTCTCATCACTGTAAGCCTAATCTCTCTCTTTTTTTTCCCTCCCTTCTAGGCCTCATAAACTGGTGTTCTAACAACTCCAGGAAGCATTTGGGGGGAAGAAAGCAGGCACTTCTGTCTGAAAGAATGTTTCTAAGGATAGGAATGGTGGGGAAGGAGGAGCTTGGGGCCACTGGCCCAGCTTCAGGGTCCACACAGGACTGCTTCCAATGGCTGGGGTGCTCTCCATTACCTTGCTGGGATGTGGAGTTTGGGAAGATCTTCCACCTCAACTGTTTCTCCAAAGCCACCCTCCTCTGTCGGCTGTTCCGTAAACTCCAGCAGAGACCATGGAGCTGGGTGTGGAGAGAGCAGGGTAGGTGGGTGTCATCTGGGGACCTTGGCCTGCAGACATGTATCACCACAGCCTACAGAGAGCCATGTCCCAGTAGGTTTGTCCGACATTAACAGAGGGTGGAAGGTAGACGAGAGGGGAAGTGACAGGAGTCCGGAAACCTGGGTTTAAGCTGTGGCTCGGGTCACATGTGATAGTGTGACCTGTCAGGGTTCTTCAGCCTAAACCCAAAGGTCGGAGGCGATGAGTTCAGGGATCTTCATGTTTGGAGGGGCCAGGAATATGCGTTTCTCACATCCCCTGGAGGATAGGATAAGCTACCCACTGCTTTTTCCCCCCCCCTTTTTTAGCTTTTGCTGTCCTGGAACTCAAGCTAAAGACCAGGCTGGCCTCAAACTCACAGAGATCTGCCTGCCTCTGCCTTCTGAGTGCTGGGATTAAAGGCATGTGCCGTCACCACCTGGCATTGATTTATTTTTATTTTATGTGCATTGGTATATGTTTGTTTTATGTGTATTGATGTTTTGCCTGCATGTATGTCTGTGTGAGGGTGTCAGATCCCCTGGAACTGGAATCAAACAGTTGTGAGCTGCCATGTAGGAGCTGGGAACTGAACCTGGGTCCTCTGGAAGAGGAAACAGTGCTGTTAACCACTGAGTCATCTCTCCCTACACACCACTTCTGCTCCACCTCTTTTGACAATGTGGGGGAGCACTAGCATCTTGCTGAGCAGGACATCATGAAAGATCAGAGCTGTGTCATACTAGAAGCCCTCCATGGGCCATTAGAGAGCAGAGACACAAGCTAGGATGGGAGGGTCCCTTTGCCTGGCCCAAGTTCAACAGAATTCTTCACATGCCCAAGGGACACTCCCTCCCCTTTCCTAACCATTTCTTCGAACAACATTTTTGGTGGGCTGTGGTATAGCTCAGCTGTTGAGACTGCTTGCTTAGCCTACACAAAGCCCTCAATTTGATCCCCAACACCACATAAAATTTGGCATGGTGACCTGATGACATTGTATGTGACATTTCATACCTGCCCTACAGCATGCTGGCCTTTCATGAATGAGGTTCTGGATGTGTTCAGTACTGTGCAGTATCTTTGGGCTCCTGAGCTTGTCTGAGTTGAGAGCAGAGTGTCATCTCTCCAGGTTATATGACCAGAAGGTCTGTGTTAGGAGGGCTTAGGCCAATTCAGGGCCCATTGTCACTAACCCTCTAAGCTCCCTCCCTGATAGACAGCTCCTTTGTCTTTAACAGGGTTCAGCAAGCCTATGAGGCAGGTAGAGTGACACTCAGAACATGCAAATTGAGGAATGGACATGAGTTGAAAGAAGAGGACCAGAAAGAATGCCAACAAGATGAAGGATGAAGAGACTGGGCCATAGGAAATAGCTACCTGAGGCACTAGGAGCAGGGTCACTGATGATGCAGGGATGTGAGCATCCTGACCTCCTCATATGGCTGTCCCTCTTCCAAGTGGACTGGGTGTGGAAGAAGAGTAGACTGGGGATTCCTAAAGCCTACAGGTTTCCAAATAGACTCAGCTTGGTTTGCTTCGGTTTTGGAGTTTGTTTTGGTTTTTGTTTGTTTGTTTGTTTTGTTTTTTAAATAGATTTTCCCTAAGTAACCTAGGCTGTCTTGGAATTTTCTGTACAACCAGCTGACCTAAAATTGCAAGTTCTCTGCCTTGGTTATCTCTAACTCAACTTTTTTAAAGTTACTTTTTTTTCTTTCTTAAGACTTTATTTAACTTTTTTGGGGGGGCATTGGTGTAAAGGCATCAGACCCCCTGGAACGGGAGTTTCAGACAGTTGTGAGCCACTTGTGGGTACTGGGAACTGAACTCAGGACCTCTGGAGGAGCAACCAGTGAGTGCTCTTAACCGCTGAGCCATCTCTCCAGCCCCATCTCTCATGTTTCTAAGGCAGAACCCTTTTTGTGGTACTTTGCCTGTTTCTGATCTATTCCTCCCATAGTTCTCCAGGGATGCAGCCGCTCTCCCTTCATTTGTGATTTACCATCCATTAGGACTCCTCCCCGAGCAACCCAACAGTGGCACTTACATGTTTATCCGAAATTGGTTTTGTGGCTAAGGAGATGGCCAGTATGGTAAGGAGAGTAATGAGGAAAATGAAAAAACCAAAATAGAGGTAATGAAGGCCGCAGATGAACATGGGACACTTGCTGCGTTCCTCACAGGTCGGGTGTCCATAGGAAAACTCAGCCAACAGTCGAAAGACACCAACTGAAGTTCCCAAAATCAACCCCCAGAAGGCACCCTGCCAAAGAAGCCAGACAAGAGTTACACGGGCAGAGGGAGATAAGACAAAGTGGCGTCTTCCTCCCCTTGCTGATGAGCTGTAATGAGAGGACGCCAGACCCTGGCACTCTCTCTTACATCAGACAGGGGACTTAGGAAAAATCGGAAGTGCTTTTAACTGAGACCAGGAATAGACATCTCAACCTGTGCCCAATAAAAAAATTTTATCTTCCCTGTTTCCCTAAGTAGGAACCCAACTCCGAGATGCTCAAGTCAAACCCAGGAGCCACCTCCAGCTCTTCTCTTTCCAAATCCTGTTGGCCTCTGCTTCCAAATGTGTCCAGGATCCAGTCCCTTACCATGACCCTTACACCCATCTTTTCTCATGGTGGGGGTTCCTTGTTCCTAACTGTCCACTGGCTCTGCAGGATCTTCTACTCGAGAATGCCAAGCCTTGTCCTGGACTCTCCAGTGACTTCTCAGGACCTGCCATCAAGACCAAGCCTCACCCCTGCATCATGGCTGACCTCACTACTCTCCACTCATTCCTTCTCAGCCTGCTTCTGCGGCTACAAGCTTCCCACTCTGCTTCTGGCTTGAGTTCTTGCACTTTCCATTTTTTCTGCTTAGAATTCTCCCCACATATTGGAATTTCTGGCTTTGACTCCAGGCCACTTCCTTAACAGTGGTCTCCTGCTGATCTGAGTCCTTGTTTGTCCCACACTCACAGTCCACCCTGCAATCACCATCATCTTTTATATTCTTTTTAAAATATTTAAGATTATTGATTTATGTATTTTGTCCTTATCCATCAGGATCAAACCTCACCCCTGCATGCCAGAAGAGAGTATCAAATCCCGTTTTAGATGACTGTGAACCACCATGTGATTACTGAGAATTGAACTCAGGACCTCCAAAAAAGCAGCCAGGGCTCTTAACTGCTAAGCCATCTCTCCAGCCCTCTTTTAAAAATATTTACTTTTATTATTTATAATTATGTGTATCTGTCTATCTTAGGTAGGGTTACTATTGCTATGATGAAACACCATGACCAAAAGAAGTTGGGGAGGAAATGGTTTATTTGGCTTACATTTCCACATCAGAGTCCATCATTAAAGGAAGTCAGGGCAAGAACTCAAACAGGGCAGGAATCTGGAGGCAGGAGCTGATGCAGAGGCCATGGAGGGGTGCTGTTTATTGCCTTGCTCCTCATGACTTGCTCAACCTGCTTTCTTATAGAGCCCTGGACTACCAGCCCAGGTATAGCCTTGCCCAGAGTGAGTGTCCCCCCCATCAATCACTAATTAAGAAAATGCCCTAGAGGCTTGCTTACAAACTGATTTTATGGAGGATTTTTTTTTTTCAACTGAGGCTCCCTCTTTTCTGGTGACTCTAGGTCCTGTCAAGTTGACATAAAATTTGCAAATGTGTAGCGATATGTAAGTAACACCTTTATGTCTGGCTTTAAGGGAAATGTACAGGAAGGCCTTTGTGTCTGGTTTTGAGAGAAATGATTCAGCAAAGCCTTTGCTATGTTTGAATAAGTCAATAGAGGCTGAAAAATTGTTCTGAGACTGTTTAAGTCTTGAAGAACTGTCTCTTTGGAGGATCTGCTCATAGTACTATGTGAGAGCTTGCAGCTGCACCGACCTGGGTCCTCAGACACTCCTGTCAGACTGGAGTGCTTACTTTTGCTTATGGTTGCTGTAATCAAAGGGGGCTGGGATTTGCATGGGTTGTCTGCTCTCATGGGCAGCAAGAGTAAGATGACTTGGGTGGTTGGAACCTTTCCCCACCCCTATTAACCTTGGATATGTTTGAGTAGAGTAACAGGAATGAGCTTGCTGGGTGTCAAGTTTTTTCCAAGAAGGCTTGAATGAATCCCTTTGCTCCTTCCGCAAGTGAAGGTTTAGCAACCTGGTGAGCAACTCTGTATCCTCTTAACAAGTGAAGCTGTCTCTCACCCCACCCAACCCCATCCAACCCATCCCACCCTACCCTACAGTCTTTTAAATACTCTGTGTTACTAACACAAATACTTATCTGCTCATTTGGGGTCATCTGCCTCCCCCAATTAAACTGCCCACTTTATAAGAGTAAGGACTAGGTTTTGGCCCAAGAGTTGTATCTAGAGACTCTTTCAAGTTTGGATGGGTGTAAGACAGGGTCTGAATGTAGGGAAGCATAACAGAGGAAAGGCTCAGCCTCAGGCCAGGCAGAGGACCCACAGCAGTCACTTCCAGAAGGAGATATGCAGAAAGCAGGTAACTATGCCATCCAAAAGTGGGTAGGAGAAGGGTCTGGAAAAGTGCTTCAAGTTAACAGAGGTTACATATAGGACTTTAGACTCACAAAGATAAAATAGATGATGGAATATTTTCTTCAAATCTTGCTAAATGTTAATGGACTAAATAGTGTTAACTGTGATTCTTATTTGATGACTGTTATGTGATATATTTTGCTATGTTAAGGTTAAAACCCTTCTTTTTATTTAGACAGAAAAGAGGAGATGATGGGAGATGTCATTCTGTATGTGTTTCTCATACTGGTTAATAAATAAAGCACTGTTGGCCAATAAGAAAGGAAGATAGGAGGGACTAGGAGACAAGGAGGAAAGAGGAAGTAGGAAGGAGGAGTCAGTCAGCATGGAGAGACCAGGGAGACCAGATGCCTGCCTCACTCCCCAGTAAGGAGACCATGTGGAAATACATAGAAATGGGTTAATACTTAAGACAGAGCTAGCCTATAAGAAACAAGGAACTGGACAACAGCATAATATCAAAAACAGAGTCTCTGTGTGTTATTTGGGGCTGGCGTGGCGGCGGGCAGAAAAACCGAACTCATTACAAGAGGTAGTGAAAGTTAAACAATATACCTGCAACCTTGAGCCAAGGACAGCAGGAGAGCTTTGGGGATGTCCCAATATCCTCAGGTGTTGTCTTTAGAAAGAGGCAGACTTCCATGAGTGCCTGCCCATCTCTTTCCAAGGAGAGCAAAGTGAAGCAATTCTGGGGACCAAGTTTATCCTCAGACACTATTGCTACTAAATTAAGTCTTTGTGACCTGAGTGGACTGGCAGGTAGTCTACGTGACTGAGCACTTGGGTCTCAATCAGATAGAGCAGCCAAAATATATTCCTGGCAAAGCAAGTCGTCCATGAAGGAAGGGTCAAGGGGGTAGAAGATATTTCAGCAATCGCCAGTTTGGAGCAGCATGGACCCGTGGACTGTGCATGGAAAGGACTGGGTCACAAATGACCTGGGGTATGTGCATGGGAACTTGTGTAAGGCCATGCTACTCATTTCCATTCAGAGTAACAAGAAAGTTTAAGACATGATTCAAAAAAATCTTAAAGACAATTAAAAAAAAGCATGAGAACTCGGACTAATTATGTCTTCAAAGTGTCAGGTCCAAAGGAAATTTCAATTCCCCAAATTATGTCTTCAAAGTGTCAGGTCCAAAGGAAATTTCAATTCCCCAAACTGCAAAAGGTAGTCTAAATATCCAGAAATGAGCTCATCCTAGGCTATAGGAGGGTTTCTGGCAGTTAGATAAAAGACAGCGTTCCTCACTGTTAAATCTCAAACCCAGGACAAATGGCTGAGGTGCCCATTTAACACATTAAATCAGACCTGGCTGCCAGGTTCTCTCAGCATCCCTCAGTTCCTACCTGTTACAATGTATGACTAACATACCCTGCCCCCTACCCTGAACTCTCCAACCCAGAGTGCTGGGCTGCCCTTCCCTTTATCATTTTGGTGACTCATCCATCCTCTTTGGTCCTCCTGGGTGCTCTACCTGGGTGCTCTTCCCTTCTCTTCCCTCTCCCTCCCCTTTCCTCTCTCCCCTTCTCCTCACAGGGCCCAGTTCAGTCCACTCTGGGCTCTCCCAGCTATCTCTCAGCTTTTAAAATCTGTATTTTACAGACTTAAAAAAAAAAAAAAAAAAAAAAAAAGATGTGTTATGTATACAGTGTTCTGTCTGCACAACAGAAGGGGGCACCAGATCTCATTACAGATGGTTGTGAGCCACCACGTGGTTGCTGGGGATTGAACTCAAGACCTCTGGAGGAGAAGCCAGTGTTTTTAACCTCTGAGCCATCTCTCCAGCCCTGTGCTCCCCCCTTTTATCTACAATAAACTTTCACCTCCACCATACCTAGGAGCATTCATGTCCTTTTTACTTTCTGTTTCTTCTTTTCATTCACTCAGGAACTTATGAAGCTGATTCCTCTCTAACCAAAAGCAGTCATTCCCCTTATGACAGTCTGAACAGACGTATGACTACCTGTGGTGCCTATTAGCCTATCAGCTCATGCTGGCCTCCAGACTCCCTCAGTACCACAAATAACCTGTTTGATATTTCAAAGTCCATGCTCGCATCTTAGACCTTCTCACCTCCCCTACCCTAAACTCCCTACAGCTCATGGGCTTCCTTCCCCCTAGCTACGTATTCTCCTTATATCCCTGCTATTCTTGCAATGTTCTGAACTCTTCCACAGTGTGAAGACAGCCCCTTACACCATTCCACCTGAATACCCACCTGCTCATTGACTCTCTTGCAGAATACAGCCAGCAGAAAGACAGCAGTCATGCTTGGTGTCAGGCAGCTCTTAAGAACCTGCATGTACTCAAACAGTGTCTCACTGGATGCTATTTCTATAGTAGGGATCCAGACAATGGTGACAGCAAGTAAGATTATAACAAAAAACCTGTGAATCAAACCAACACTCAGTGATAATTTGAAGATTTTTCTCCTGCAAAAAAAAATACCTATAAATCCTAACTAGATAGCTTTTCCTTAGTTGCTTATATTTATTACTTCTACTAATATTGTTGTAATTATTGTCTATTTAGGGAAAGTTTCATGGCCTGCTGAGAATTTATAGTACATATCTTCCAAACACTGAAGATTATCTTTGTGATAATCAAAACATTACATTATTATATCAAAACTGCATAAAAATAAGCCCCGAGCCACACAGATTAAAAGGAGAAGAAGAAGAAGGAGGAGAAGGAGAAGGAGAAGGAGAAGGAGAAGGAGAAGAAGAAGAAGAAGAAGAAGAAGAAGAAGAAGAAGAAGAAGAAGAAGAAAATTCTATGTCAAGTATCACAGCCTAATTTTCAGGCAGTCATTGACATTACTAACTAATGTGACTGGAACACTTCACCTTCCAGCTACCATGAGCTCCTTTTCAGTGGCTGTGGGCCGAATCCAGGTGTAAATGTTCAGAGTGAACAGGGCACTGGAACTGTTGAAGATGGAGGTGAGTGAGGACATGATGGAGGCACAGACTGTGGACAGCATGAAGCCTTTTAGGCCTGGAAGAAAGAGAAAACATTCCCTGGACTGCCAGCTCTCTGGGCAAGCCAGAGAAGGCCTTGACCTCCTAAGGCACATTTCCAAACACCTTTAAAACATGCAGCTTTTACCTGGAGTGGTATTCCATTTAAGACATTGTGCTACATCTGTCCTTGGTTTGTGATGGGGCAATAGCTTCCTGCTGGGTGCTTAGAGAATAATGGGAGCTACTCTCTCTCTTGGAGGGTTGGTCTGTGTCAGGTCATATCATCCTTACTACAGCCCTGTGCAATGGACACCATTGCGTGTGCCCCAGCTTGGAGAAGTCCTTGCTATAAGCAAGAAATTAAACTCTTCATAGGTGAAGTGTGCTATGGTACCTACCATGAGGCTGTTAAGGTACAGACAAAGTAAGCAGATGAGTTCACACAATGTCCAAAGACAGGAGGCATTTGCCCAACACTATAGAAACAATTTGGTACCACTGCCTGGGAGGCTGCCTGGTGAGGGGGACCGATCTGTTTGACAATTTCTTTGTGCTATCAGGAGATAGTAAACATCTAAAGCTATCTGAAGATGACTAGGGCCTCACCTGGAAGCCCCACACAGCAGTACCCCGACTGACTTTCATAGGCCCTCCACGGCTGGAAGACACAGATTGATCTAGAAGTTGCCCTCCTTCGAGCACTACCCCCAGTCTAAGCCCTGGCTGCTCTAGGCCAGGGCATGGGCCAAGACTCAGGTCAGCTGCCTTCCAGACTGTAGTGTGGTCAGTATTTGCCTCAGTCTGTACTGAAGTTTATGGAAAAGTTGCTCTCCAGAGCTGACACAGACGCTGTTTGCTTTTAAAACATTTATTTCCGAATTTTAATGGAGTCTGGAAAAGAAGGTGAGGTAAATGCCCACCTAATAACGCACATCACCTGACTGCTAGGCCACTGCCTGGCTCTTTAACTAACATCACTGTATGATAAGCAATTTGAGGACAGCGCTGTTGGAACCAATATTCTGAATAAATGAGCAGGTAACATAAATAACACAATCGGTGTGTGTAGGTTGTGCCTCCATGAGGATGTGGAGAGGGAAGAGAGCCAAGGCCTAGGCGCCTACCTGAGTAAACAAAGCTTGTTCCAGTGCTAACCACTCCCAACATGCAGATTGCCACTACAAGCAGAAGGATGGGCCAGCTGGTAAGGAAGCCACTCCGGCATTCCCACTCCTACCCGTCACTCCAGTGGGAGTCATGTAGGTCTTGGTGGAAAGGTCCACTTCTTACCAGAAGGCATCACTCCTATTGCCAGCGCTGGATAAGCCAGGGAACTACAACCGGTTTGTCTGCCACAGAACTTCTGACATTCTGAAGGTACAACACATGCCACTTGATCTGCAGCAAGAAGGAATGTTGGCATCAACATCATGGTTCCGGAGCTCTCAGATCTGAACTCGGGAGAGGGGATGCAGGTTAGGGACCACGTGTGTAAGGGCAGAAGTCCTGGTCCATTGGAGATTTATCCAATTTGTGATCCTTCTACATATTGGAACAAATGGACAAATGGCTGGAACTGAGGATCCTAGAAGTCAAATGACCTGATCCTCCTCCTGACCCAAGGGCAAATCATGGGACCTCTACGAGGTCCCCTCAGATCCCAGTGAGGGGACTGGAGAGACTGCTCAGCTGTTAAGAGCACTGGCTCCTCTTCCAGAGATCCTGAATTCAATTCCCAGCCACCATATGGTGGCTCACAGCCATCTGTAATGAGATCTGGTGCCCTCTTCTGGCATGCAGGCATGCATGCAGACAGAATGCTGTATACATAATAAAAATAAATAAAAATCTTTTCTAAGAAAAAATTTAAAAGATCCCAATGAAGCGTTAAGGAAGTCTGTGAACCACCCATCATGTACTAACATTGGAACCACCCAGAATCTCACACTTTTGCCCCAAGATAGATATGATTTGCCATAATAAATTGGACTCCAAGTCTTGGAGAGGAGAGGGGCCAATTTTCTAATTTATCAAAAAGAAACATCTGTGAGATCTAACAGCACTGCTTGGCTTTTTAAGAACACATAGATAAACATTGAGGTTCCTCTCTATTAAAGCTGGGGGGAAATGGACACAGGTCCAGAAGCTTGTGTCGCAGGGTAGACCACAGGGTGCAACAGACTTAGATATGGTCACTGCTCATGTTACTTGGCATGAAAAAATTGTTCTGCATTCCTCTGGCCTTGTCAAAAGCCCTTGGCAGTACACAGTCCTAGAAGCCACCCACCCTACCTGGGCTGCTAGTTTTTTGTGAACTTAACAGAAGCTAGGATCATCTGGGAAGAGGGAGCCTCAATTAAAAAAAGAAGAAGAAGAAAGAAAGAAAGAAATGAAGGAAGGAAGAAAAAAAATTCCCCATCAGATTGGCCCACAGGCAAACTTATGAGGCATTTTCTTAATGATTGATGGGGGAGGATCTGGCCCACTGTGGGTAGTGTCATTCCTGGGTATGGGAGGTTCTAGGTTATATAAGAAAGCAGGCTGAGCAAGTCGTGAGGGGCAAACCAGTAAGCAGCAGCTTTTCTCTATGGCCTCTGCATCAGATCCCGCCTTTACATTCCCACCTTGAGTCTCTGTCCTAATGTCCCTCAGTGATAAACAGTTATCTGGAAGTATAAGGTGAATAAGCCCTTTCCTCCTTCAAGTCATTTTTAGCCATGGTGTTTGTTTTATCACAGCAATAGAAACTTAGCCAGGACACCACTCTTGTGGCTATAAATACCAGACTCATAACTGTTCCCTTGCCTAATGAGTAAGTAGACTCTTTGCCTGAGAGACAGGTTGAGCTAGCCAAGCACATTGATATGGGGGTGAAATACATTATGGAATTCTAATCACTCATTAGAAGAAGTGGGAGATTTGTTAATAGCTTTTAGTAGAAAGAATGAAGGTCTTTCTCCAAGCCTTTCCCTCCACATCAGCCTCTTCCAAACTGTCTCATATGTTCAGCCTATATGTTTAGGCCTGTGAGAAACTACATCCAAGAGATCCCGGCACAGTGCGTGAGGCACACAGCATTCGGTCTGTGAAGTGGCCCAGCAACCCAAATTCCTGAAGACTGTCCCATAGTTGTGGCTGGGCCTCTGCTGGGGAGGAACACGATGGTCTCATGGGGGAAAAATGCTTCCATCTGCCCTTGCCCTTCTTATCACCTGGGAGTTTCTGTATTGCTGTGCATCTCAAGAGCTTCTATTCAAACACATTCTAAAGAGGAACTTGAGGCAATTCCAATAACTAGTATACCACGGGAGACCCGGTACTTCAAATATCCTCCAGATCTCTAAGACAGCGTGTCAGGATCCAGAATTCACCTGAGAACAAGATGCGGCTGATCATCCCTGGCATTACCATGAAGAACATGGGCAGCAACTTCAGGTACCCATACAAGAGACAGCCACCTTTCATATGAAGCCTGCTCTTTGCTGCCAGGAACCTCTGAACAGAAATCTGCCAGGGAAAGATAAGTAGGTGGAGTCAGTGGTGTGTAAGGTGTATATATGGTTTGAAAACTGACTACTCTGCATTGGGCAACCAATAAAAGTACTCATCCAAGGCTCCGGGAACACTGGAGAAGAGAGGGCAGAAATATGGTTAAGAGTCAAAGGGCTGGCACATCTGCTTTGAGATAGTGTCTTCTATACAGGGCAAGAAAGCTGCACCCACAAAAACCTTAACAATACAGTTAAGCTTAAGCTTAGCCTGCAGAATGATATTCCCAGATGACATGCCAGGGTAGATGGAGGAAATTTCACAAGGCACCACACCCAGATGAAGGGCTTTAAGCAATCAATGGCTATGGAGAGAAGGAGAGCCATTCTTCAGTCCCAAGCCCTCCAATAGGTTATCTAATCCCAGTGGTCCACCCAAAATGCACACACATGTGTGAGCAACATTGGACCCAGCAGGTTATATTTACAAATACATATGTATATGTGTGTATGTGTGTGTGTAACAATAATAATTAAATAAAAGGTCATGAACTGAGAGGGAGGTGGGGGACATAGGAGGAGTGGGGAGGGGAGAGAGGAAGGGGTGGAAATTAGCCAGGCGTTGGTGGTGCACGCCTTTAATCCCAGCACTTGGGAGGCAGAGGCAGGTGGATCTCTGTGAGTTCAAGGTCAGCCTTGTCTACAGAGCGAGTTCCAGGACAGCCTCCAAAGCAATACAGAGAAACCCTGCCTTGAAAAACCAAACCCAAATAAATAAATAAATAAATAAATAAAATACAGTACTCATGTATAAAATTCTCAAAAAAAAAAAAATTAAAGGCATAAAAGATACCAGTAATCTATAAGAAAGAAATTCCCCCAACCTTCAAAGTACATGAAAATTTCATATAAAGGTAAAGTCTCTGTGGTAGTTTGAAAGAAAATGCCCCCCAAAGGGAGTGATACTATTAGGAGATATGACCATGATGGATTAGGTGTGGACTTGTTGAAGGAAGTGTGTCACTGTGGGGCAGGCTTTGAGGTCTTCTATGTTCAAGATGTGCCCAGTGTTACAAACCACTTGCTGTTGCCTGCAAGATGTAGGACTCTCAGCTCCCTGTTCAGCACATCTGCCTGCATGCTACCATGTCCCACCATGATGGTAACGAACTGAATCCCTGAAACTTTAAACTAGCCCCAATGAAATGTTTTCCATTATAAGAGTTGCCATGGTCATGGTGTCTCTTCACAGCAGCAGAAACCTTAACTAAAACAGAAATTGGTACCAGGGACTGGTCATGATTTGGACAGTCTCCAAATCACAACAGCTAGAGAATAGTTTAAAGGGGTATTATCAAAGTTAAAGTATTATAAACACTTAAACAAGGATAAATCTCACTGTTTATATCAACTGTGGGGGGGGGGGATACTATTGAGGCAACAAATACAATTTAGAAGGCAAACCATGAAGAAGCCACAGTGGCCTATGTCCACAGGGACATTAAAAGACAGTCACTTCATTGACCTTGCATTTAATTACCTGATCAGCACACCCGTAGAATAAAGAGACAGTAGTGGCGCCTAAGATGAGTCCAGGCCAGGGGATGTCTCCAGAGATACCACTTCGGAAGATATGGAAAGCATCCTGACGAGGCATGTAACACTGTGGCTTGGCAGTCCAATTTCCCTCTTGGGTCCTACTTGGGATGGCTTGGAAGTACTTTTTCACCAGCCCCCGATATCCTCCAACTTCACGAAAAGCTTTAAAACAAACAAACAAAAACCATGATATTTACCAGTTCCTTGAAGAGTACAGTGAACAACACAACTAAGAAACCAAGACTGGTTATAAGACGCAGTGTGGCCTGCTGGCTCTCACTGTAAAATGTGACAGAGTAACACACTCTCAGTACCCTCATGTGTGCAAGAAAAGACTAGCTCTTCTAGGGGAAAGAAATTCATTGAGTTATGTGCCTAGAACCCCACCCCCTTTATCTGGCTTCAAACCTCTCTTTCTAAGGTGTGTGTGCTTTAAGTAGAATGAATCATAGTGTCCCCTTGTCTTCTGGGGGACCCTGGCTTACTGACATTCCCTGGCTCCTGATTACCAACCAGTAAGTGGAGAATACACATGAGCCCCCTGCTGGACTACCCAGAATATGTTCTAGAATTCTACTGAAGGTGTACTATTCCCTTCCACTGGGTTCCACTTAGTGATATGTCTTAGAGGTCTTTTTATCTATGTGGTCCCTCAATCCAGCCATACCTAAAGGTAATCTGCTCCTGGAATTTTCATCCATAAAAGCTAAAAGTACTTATTTTTTTAGGCAGGATTTTTCTGTGTAACAGTCCTGGATGTCCTGGAACTCATTTTGTAGACCAGCTGGCCTCAAACTCATTGAGAACTCCCTGCCTTTCCCTCCCAAGGACTGGGATTAAAGGTATGTACCACTGCTACCCAGAAAAAGTACTTATTTCTCACCAGTTTTTAACTAAAATTTTATCATTAATTATCTAAAGAGGGCTGGAGAGATGGCTCAGTGGTAAAGAGTACTGCATGCTCTTCCAAAGGACCAGGGTTCAATTCTCAGCACCCATATGGCAGCTCACAACTGCCTGTAACTCCAGTTCCAGGGGATCTGCTACCTTCATATCAATACACATAAAATGAATTTAAAAAAAATTATTTTTAAAAGTTATCTAAAGAATCTTGATTTTAAAATGGATTAATATTCTTTTTCCTTAGATGCCAATAAAATGTTAACACATCCTAGTTAAACTTTCCTTCAGAACTTATGTCCTAGGTATTATAAAATCTTAACATTAAAGTAGTTATATTTTAGTAGATATCTACTAAAACATCTACTGTGTTTTAACTGTTTTCTCTTGGCATGTAAAAGCATGCTGCCTTGAAACAGACTGTTTTTTACATGAATTATGTCTATTTATAAATAATACTAGTCAATGAAAGAGTATAAAATTAATAAAAATCAACAAAAATATCATATCATAGCATTTACAGAAAGTAAACCCATGTCCAATAAAAAAGACAAAATACAAAATTGTAACAAGCAAATATCTTTATGGACATTGGATAATTTTAAAACATTTATAACAAGAAGAGAGGAAATAAAAGGTGATAAGTTTGAACTCAAAATTTGAAGTTTACAACACAAATTACACTAACACCTCTTAGACCTTAGACCGAGGACTAGGGAGATGGCTCAGTGGATAAGAGTGTTTCTTGTTCATGCAGAGGTCTTGGGTGCAGATTCCCAGCACCCATGTGAGAAGCCAGCTGTGTACCTCTTTGCCTTTTGACTTTCTGTGATGGTTTCCATTTCCTTTCTCAAAAGGAAGCTTTGATGAAGAGTAAAAGTGACCCTTGTCTCTGATGTAAGGATTAGTGTTTAGAATGTAGTTGGAAACTAGACTGCTTTGAGGCAGTGGCAGCGAGAAGTTCTTCTCTAGGGTCCATGGCCTCCCCAAACATAAAAAGTGGGCTACATTTTTAGTACTGTCATGAATTCCCTCCTATTAAGTGGGCCATAAGTCTAGCTAGGTGTCCGTTGGTTACCCCCAAGATATAAGTGCCACTATTGCCTTTTGGGGGTATCTTGCCATTCTTGTCATTTTTGAGGTCCATACAAATTATAGCTAGGTAATGTCAGAACACAGACAAAAGGATGAACCATGGTGAAAGATGCCTTGGGGAACTGAGAGAGGCTCCCGGAAAAAAAGACAAGTACCTTTTACCTCAGGTGCATTTTGTTCCCTGGATTGTTCTTGGATGTAATTTCATGCCTCCTATACAAACACTTACATTCAATTTATAAGATGTGTTGTTTATTCCTGTTGAACGTCTGAACAGAACTACAGAACCCAATCTGGTCGGTGTACCCTGAATCAGGAGACAGCCTTCTGCTTTGCTTTCATGCTTGCCCAGATCTAATCTATAGTACGAGTCAGGCAACCCTGTTTAAACTGGTCTGTCCTGAGAAGGTTCTAGGAAAGGGCTGCTCTGTCAACATTTACTATGTGCTTACTGATGTTTATTTACATGCTTTTCTGAACTCAAGCAATCTTCCTTGGATCAGTGCGTTTTTTTGTTACATTCATGTATAAAATTACACTGAGCCTGAAGTAAGGTTGCCTACAGTATTGTTCTGTAGTCCACCCCATTCTTTCAGGTTCTCGGATCCCAGGTCCAGCAGACAAGATCTGCATGGGCCAGCTGGAAAGTTTACAGGCAGGACTATTGATAACTTTCCCCCCTTGTCACCTTGCATAGTACCTTCTAGTATGCAGGGTGCCTAGCCCCTATTGATAGTGGTCCCTGCACAAAAGCAAACCCACCTGGGCGAAGAAGAATGAAAATCCAGTGCGGATCTGGATCAGACTTTGGGGAGTCTAATAACAGGCCGTGTATTCCTGATGTACTTAATCCTAGTATAATTTGAGGGAAAAGTTTCCAGGTGTAATACAACTGCCAATGCACAAGAAAGTAGGATTACATTGAAACTCAACTCAGGGTACATGTCATTTCTTCCAAGAAGATGGGTTCCAGAGATGGGCTGCCTGTACTAGCTTAATGGCCTAAGGGTCTGGCCTGGTCTGGGTCTCACAAGAAGTCATTTTGAACTATTTACTTCTGCTGGTCCTGGCAATGGGAGCTTGGAGGAGCCTCTGGCTATCAGAGTCATTTAGATTATTAGCCACCTCTGGTCCTGGTTATAGGAGCTTGATACGGCCTGGCCCAACAGATAAGCACAGGTCGGCCCCTCTGTTAATCTCTCCAGATTCTTAGCTTTCTGGATGAAAGAACAGGTTTTTCATGCTTCCCAATGGAAAGACAATCCTGTGTGCTTAACATTCCTATTTTCTCTGGATATCTGTGGGTGTCTGGGCTCCCAATAGATATGCCTATGAGCAACCCCTAAACCTAAGGCTCAAGGGACATCTCAGAAGAAGGCGAAGAAACATTGAAAGAACCCAAAGACAGCAACATCTTCAGTGAGATAGTGTCTTCTATATAGGGCAAGGAAGCCGCACCCACCCATGAAATCTCAACAGTATGGCCACCTAAACAAGGCCTGCACCATGACAACACCAGTTGGCATGCCTGTGAGGATGTGGAAAATAAGACTAATTTACTTTCTAACCCTGCTCAGGCAGTACCTGATGTTTTAAGACTTCAAGAATTTTCTTCATCTAATAGGATAAAAAAAATAATCTAATTTCTCAGTTTTGTTTGACTTTTCGGTTCCAAAGGTCAAAGTTCCACCTCTAGATGAGTGGCTACAGGCAATTAATGGATGCTGAGAGAGGGAGAGTCAGTCTATTCCAAGGCCCCTGGTAGATGACCCAATCCTATTCAGTCAGCCTTAAACACAGATGCATATGACAACATTCTTATGTTTACACATTTACATATACAAGCATGTGAGAATAATAAAGAATAAGAGGGATGAACTTGAGAAGGCATGTCAGGGGACACAGTAGGAGCTGGAGGGAGAGAAAGGAGGAGGAAATGATCAAATACAGTACTCATACATGAAGTTCCCCGAAAACAATAAATAAAAGCTGTAAGAGGCAGGTGTGGCCATGTGACCCGGACTTCTAGGGCTTGCTGTCTAGATTGCCTATGGTGAGGGGAGTTAGAGTTGCGAGTCCCACCGCAAGAAAAAAGAGCGGAAAGTGCTAGAGTGGAATGACAGACATTCACTCAGAATGAGCGCTCATCCGGGCTCTCCCCACATCCACGCACATGCGCACATACCACACAGAGCCTGTGGCTCTTAGCCTGAAAGAACACATTCATTTATTTCTACAGCGCCCTTTACGTCATGGGCCGAAAGACAGTTCTGGAAAGGAATAGAGGAAGCATCACAAACAAGTAATTCATTAAAAAAGGAAACTAAATTAACTGGAAAGTGCTCAATCTTACCCTACCTGAAGACTAAAAAGTAAAACAACATCGAGACTTTTTTTTTTTAGCCTATCAAATGAGCAAAACCCTCAAAAATGTCACTCCCTGGCTGGAGCAGGGTTGAGAAATACAGTTGTGGGGCTGGAGAGATTGCTTGGTGGTTAAGAGCTGTTCTCCCACAGGATCAGGGTCCAATTCCCAGCACCCACATGGCAGCTCACAACTGTCTACAACTCCAGTTCCAGGGAATCTGACACTTTCACACCAATGCACATAAAATAAAGTTTAATAAATTAAAAACTTTTTAAAAAAGAAAGTAGGTATAGGGGAAAAACTTGTTACAACTCAAGGTCACTCATGATATGAAGGACCCAGACCCTCACCCAGTCCCCATGGCAGCCAGGACAGGCTGCAGAAAAGACCCCAGAAGAAGTAGGACCCTGACTCAGCAGGATGTGCTGAGGCCCCACCCCACCCCCACCCCACATACCTTGCTGGACCTTGCCCTAATTACTGGGAATAAACCACCAGATACCCTCTTTGTAGTAAGTAACCAATCAGAAGTTAGTTGGCGGGCTTTGGATGTGCTCTACTGATAATGGTGGAATGCAGTAGGTAGCAACAACCCAGGCCCTGGGATGGCTTCCAGGCATAGCAACCTTTCTGCAACTGCAGCTGCAGCTGACCAATCAGGTTCCCCCAGCCCAGAGGTGCACCAATCCTGAGACTGTTACTATGCAACTAGCAGACTCCCAGACAGCCCCCTTGCTCTACCCCCAGTATATGCCCTGTCCCTCTGCTGCTCTGAGTCTCTCCTACTCCACCCACTGTGACTGTGTTGGAGTAGGAGGACCTGAGTTAACTCGTAAATTAAAAAGACTCTTTGCTTTTGCTTTGGACCTGGTCTCTGGGTGGTTTGGGGGGTTCAGAGTCTGGGCACAACAGATATACAGCATGAGCAAAGTAGGAACCACAAGACTGCAAAAGGCTGTGTGACTACAAACAACTTACAGCTAATATTGAATAGTGAAATGTATAATGTCTTCTCTTTGAAGCTGGGGTAAGACAAGGATGCCTGCCCCTTCACTCTACTGCATCCTACACATCAGCTATTATTTCCACTCTAGTTTACTACATACTTAATTCTTTAGGCTGTGCTTTCTGTAAAGGCCACTTTGTGTGAGGGCCAGACCTTTTGGATGGGGTGTGTGTGATTTATTGGTGAAACAATCATGTAGATCTATGTTACAACATGGGATGTGGTGCAGTTGTGATTTGCGTGTGTAGAATCTCACTGCTGGGAATGGATCTTCTGCTGACCTTGACAGGCAGATTTGAGTGGGCAAACGAAAGGGGCTTCCAGCTGGGGAACAAGGATGGCATGGCTGGGGGTGGGGAGCATGCTGGACGACAGCTCTGCAGATTTCACCAGCATTTTGTCACTTGACTCCTCTCGTGGGCAGTGAGGTTGCCTTCAGAACTTTCAGCATGACCTCTGAGTGCGCTCTTGGGCTCTGAGGAGTTCCACCACTTCATTCGTAAGATGAGGCAGCTGACGGCCCCCATGTAACCCTAGATTCAAAGATGGCACCTCTGTGGCCCACTTACTCACCATAACACATTAACAAGACTGAGCCCAGAATCATAATACCAGCTTGTAAGGTCTCAACATAAGCCACAGCTGTCAGGCCACCTGGAGAGGAAGAAGAAATGAAAGGAAGTCACATGTACTTCCCCTTACAGCAGCCTCTCTGTATGCCCTCCCCCCTCCACAGCCACTGCTCTGCAAGCCCCTCCCGCACAGCCACCTGCTCCCTACACCCTCCCCTCACTCCACCTCCTTTCAGATTTCTCATCCATTTAAACTTGCTTTGCCTAACAAATCCTGTTTTCTCTCTTTACTGTTCTTCATGGGCTTTTATAGGATACTGGCTTTTTTTTTTTTCAGTTTTGCCAATTTTGTTGAACCAATAAAACTCCAACTAATAATAATGAAGTTAATTCTGAAGTTATACACGTGATACTGTGTAAGAAAACACACTGTCCTGTAGCTATAAATAGGTTTTTAAGATGCCATGAAAATGAAGTTGTGAATTGTTAACATGTTAATACATGCTCATTTATTTCAGGTGTGTTTGTTCCTTCTTTATATGCTCACAGGATATCACCCATCCTCAGACAACAACAGAAGACGCATCAAAGCAGTAGAACGTTTTGACTTCCTAAGCCCCAGTTTTTCTTTACTCTCCATGCTTTTCCATTGTCCTAATCAAATGTAGTCTCTTTTCATCCCAGAAACTCCGTCTGGAAGTAATCATCAGTACTGTCCCTGGTCTCCACCAGCTGGAGAGCACCTTCCCTGAGCCCCGCCCAGTTTTAACAACCCAAACTGTCTCCGAGCATCACCCAACATCACCAGGAAGAAAAACCCAATTTAGACTCCTCACCACTATGAGCAACTTAGCGACAACTTCTGTCCCTCTGATTAGCTCTACCTGACCTCTAGTCATACTATGAGTAGAAGAAAATGAGGGATGAGAGCCCCGACCCTAGGCAGAGGCTGAATCCATGAGACCTGCCTTTCTAACAGATCCCATCTGAAGGCTTTGCCAGGAGGCCTCCTCAAGGGCCTGCCCTTGCTTTCCCCTCATTCACCTTGTATCCTCCCACTCTGCTACCTGGTAACCCACAGTGGCATGCCCCATTTTGTGATAAACATGATCACTGCTGACTTATCACTCTTCAAAGAGATTTTTCCAACCCAGTGTGATCCCTGGTGGTACCTCTGCCTCCATCATACTTCCTGGGATCAACAGACTTTGGGAAAATTTGGCAGCTCCTAGGACTCTGCTGAGAGTTTGTGTCAGTGTAAATTCATGTGTGCTTGGAGCTGCCTCACCTGTAATGGTATAAATGGCAGTAATGGTGAGCACAACCAGCATTGTCTGGTAAATATCTGTGTCCCAGACCATCTTCAAGAACATGGCACCAAAACCGATCTCCATCTGAAATGGGCACAAGGTTAGCAGCTGAAGCCTCATGGCCAATAGAATCAACAACCACCCAGGAAAGAAATGAGTCTTGGAAGCTACATAGAACAGGTGGCCTCTGGGCAGCACCCAGCCACTAATGGACGCCTAGAGAAATCTGCTCAAATTCTGTGCCCTCTGAATTCAACCAAAGTTAGTACCTCCAAGGGCTTGGGTTAACCAGAGGCACCCAGTTAACACTACCTAGCCAACTCTGCTGCGGAGTCTTGGAGTGGGGGTTATTTTCAGAGAGGCTGTTGCATGTGGTTCTGCAACTAGGAAAGACCATGGGCTTTTTTTTTTCCCCTGTAAGCATTTATTCTGGAAAATACCTTGTGTTATCTTTGCAATTTCTGGAGACTTTTAATTCTTTGTACTTTTAGAACACTACCAAGTTCACTTGAATCCATATATTTAACAAGCTCTGGGATTGGCAAACTTTTTGTTCAAGACTACACATTAAATATTACAGGTTTTGAAGGCTATACACCACACTGGTTCTAGCTTTTACAACCCTTTAAATTAGATATGAAAATCAGTCTCAGCTCAAGAGCTACAAAAAGTAGTCTCACTGGCCTGACCTGCTGACCAGATCTGACATACCCAGGCTGAGCGGACACTGGCTTTGAGGCATCCTGCACGTAATTTACCTGGCTGACCTCCCAAATCAGGGATAAAATGGGCAGAGATTCATCCAAGCATTTATTCCCCCAAATGATTACTGTGGCTCCATGATGCTGTAGACACTCTGCAGTATTCAGAAGACATGAGGAATGGCCAAGCCTAGCTTCTGCCCTCACTGAGCTTATGTTGAATAAACATGGCTCATTTTCAAATGCCATTCATTTGCTTAGTGAAAACCATCTATGCTGTGCTATTTGTGCAAAACGTGTTCTGGGGAGGCAGGGGTGGAGGTGGGGGCTGCAGAAAAGACTCACAGTCTCCGGTCACTTGAATGGAAGTGGAGAAGACACGAAATAAGCAAGCACACCAATAGATTGCTTTCACATGACGGGAACCATTATAAAGAAAATAACAAAGAAACACGCAGTAGAGACAACAGGGCACATCTGTGGGATGCACTGCCACAGTTTTGCTTAGGTGACACTCCCTCCCCATCTTTCCTTGGAGGAGCAAGGTCGCCTCTTTGGAGGGGCATTCCAATGAAACGCCTGGTTGATCTCTACTCCATGTGCAGGGACTCACTGAGATCCTGATGAAGATGTAAACCAGTAAGAAGGAGAAAGAGAAGCACAGCTGGATCCGGAGGCTGCCAAACCTCTTCCTCAAATACTCCGGCAACGTCACCACCTGCACCAGCAACAGACAAGTCACTGTCACAGGGTGAGTGGTAATGAAAGACAAAAAAGTAAAGTTAAAGAAACCCCCCACTTGAAATGAAGGACAGACTAACCTGGAAAGCTAACCCAGACCAATATCTGTTCCTTGGAATTTGCTAACTTCCCCTCACAAGGCCCTGAGATAACAAGATACCAAGAATTCACACTGCCCCTCCTTTCTTGTGAGTCAGCAGGTGGTGAATAGGGTTGTTAAGAAACAAAGAGATAACTGTACCTCCGGTTTGCCCAGACAAGATTAATTAGCACACCCTGAGGCCCTAAGGTCTGTTGACCCTAATAGGGAGACCATCCGGCCTCAAAGGGTCGCATACTCAATGGACAGAGGGTCCCACCCCCTCCCTAAGCTTGTGGGTTTTGCCTTTAAAAACACCTGTGCCTGGGGTATGAGGCTTCTCTCTAGCCTGCGTGTTAAGGGAGCCCATTTGTGCAAACGTTTCCTGTTCATTAAAGCCTCTTGTGTGTTGCAGCAACTGGACTGGACATTGAGTTCTTGGGGGTACCGACCAAAACTAGGAGACTCCTCATCCTGAGGGTCTTACAGTAAGAGGCTGGTCACTGGATGGCCCTTCCTCACAGTGTTTCTGTAAAGAGATGCTGCCAGATGGTGGAGATAGCCCAGGGATACAAGATGTGGGGGCACATCGTGATTGGTACCAGTGGAGATGGAGAACAGTAAAGATGGAGACAGGACATCTATCCTCCAGGAGCTGAGATTCCGGGCTCTGCCCGACCTTAAGAATGCAGAATGAAACCCAGAAAACTGGAAATGTGCAATTATGATACATTACTCATTATGGAGCCATGCTTTGTCAAACATGGCTGGCAGGAGATAGAACCTGACTATGCAGTCAGTTCTCAGCCACCTCTGGGCGAACACTCCAGTCAGATGGCAGCGCCCCTAAGCATCCTGTTTTCTACATCATCTCGGGCGGGCAGTGTGCGCCATGAGCACAGGGTCTGAGCTCACAGTGCTCACAATGCCCTTGGCCCCAACAGTCCTTGGCTCAAGTGAATCACTGAGAGGATATTGCCTCACTTTGTCCTGGCTAATACATAGCTCTGGTCCTACCTACCTGCATTTGTGTGTGAGCGCCCACTCAGACTGCAGCTGCTCAACAGAGACAACTCCTCATGGGGACCAGCACAGCTGCAGGCTTCCTTCTCTTTGTCTTTACTTGGTTTTATGTCATACTCTGCCATATGTCAAGCATTCTCCCAGCAAAGTTCTAAACATCCTCAAGATGTTTCTAAGTTGATGTTTGGGCTTCGTGGTGACCCCCAACCATAAAATTGTTTTTGTTGCTATTTCTTCACTGTAATTTTGCTACTGTCATGAATCGTAACATACACCCCATTTTCTGATGGTTTTCCACGACCCCTGTGAAAGGGGTTCACCCCAGGGTTGAGACCCACAGATTGAGAAATACTGGTTTAGGTGCCTTAAACAACAGGTTAACTGCTGTCAGTTGTAGAGGCTACACGTTCACGGAGTCAGAAGGTCTGCCCCCTCCCCAGGGCTGAGAGACACATTTTTCCAGCTCATGCTCGTAGACTTGTCAAAGACATTCAGTGTGGAGCTTAGCTAATCTAGCATTCTATAGGGTACACCACAGCACACACTTCTATCTGCCTCTTAGCTATCCTAGTGCATGCTGCAGATAGTTTTTCAACATTTCTGTTTATAATGTTCTGACATCTTTAAAAGAAATCTTTCTAGGGGCTGGAGAGATGGCTCAGTGCTTGAGAGCATTTGTTGCTCTTACAGAGGATTTGGGTTCAGTTCCCAACACCAGCTGGTAGCTCACACCCATCTGGAACTCCAGTTCCAGGGGATCCAATGCCTTCTCCTGGCCTCTTTGGGCACCAGGCACACATGTGGTGTACATGCATACATAGAGGCAAAGCACTCAAACACATAAAAACAAAACAAAAATGTAAAGAAGAATTGTTTCTAAGTCTTTCTGTTTGGGAATAACTGCCCTCCGCAAGACTAGCCAATCTCCACAGGTAACAGAGGGCCCAGGCCAGAGCATTAGCATTGCCAGCAGGTTAACCAGTCCAGAGCCTGACCTCCTCACCCAGCCTGTGTACCTGGAGACAATAGTCCTCTGCTGTAATCATCTCAGGACCAACACAAGCCTGTTGGAGTTAGTCCAAAGCTGTTGATTCTGCTGTGCCTTGCCTTTCCCGTAGAACCCCAACAAAGGCCTGGCCTCGTTCGCATCTTCTGCTTCCTGATGGCACTGATGTCTCTTCTTCGTGGGTGTGTGTGGCAGCTTGTCTCTGGGCCCATCCTATCTTTGGGACCTTCAGGTATATATAGCACTCCTTGTTTTTCTTGGGCCTCTCCTGTTTCTCCTCATATGACTGAAACCCACTAACTAGCTCATGAGAGACTAGAAGGAGGGAGGAGTCAGACGTTGTGCTTGGTTTAAAGCTAGCATTTGTTGTAATTAAGGACAAAAATCTTCTCCTGAGATTATTCCCATTAGGGGAGGTGGCGTTTTGTTTTTGTTTTTGTTTTTGTTTTTTTTTTTGTTTTGTTTTGTTTTGTTTTTTCTAAAGCATTAGTTCTTTTTATTACGGAGTTTTAAGAGTTTTTCAAAAAAAGGATATTTTCACTTTCTGTGGACCCCTTCACACTACCCCTTTAGTCCATTCCCATTTCTTTGTGTCAGCTGCCACTACCTAGAAACACTTGCTACCTAGGACCCGTGAGCTCAGTCTCAAGACGGACTCAGGCCATTTCCACTGTCCTCTGTCACAATCTTTCCACTCTCTTCCTGTAGCAGAATGCTTACAGGGGCCTCTCCTCTCCATTGCCTTCATTCTTTGCTGACTCCCCTAAACCTTTTCTCACCCCGATGAGCACAGCACACACATGGTGCACATACATATGTGTAGCCAAAATAAATAAATAAATAAATAAATAAATAAAACAATTAAAAAATAACAACAAAAAAGAAAAGAAACGGGTGGTGGTGGTACACGCCTTTGATCCCTGCACTCAGGAGGCAGAGACAGGCAGATCTCTGTAAGTCTGGTAAGTTTGAAGCCAGCCTGGTCTACTGAGTGAGTTCCACTAAAGCCTCCTAAGCTACAGAGAAGTCCTATTTCAAAAAACCAAGAATTTTAAAAAAAGAAAAGAAAATGAATATACAACATATCCAAATCTAGAGACATAATGAAGGAGGTTCTAAAGGAAAGTTCATAGTATAAATGTCTACACATTAAAAAAAATAAAAATAAATTGAAGAGATCTCATATTAGCAACTCAACAGCATACCTGAAGCTCTGGAACAAAGAGAGGAAATAACACTCCAAAGGAGTAGACAGCAAGAAATAATCAAACTCAGGGCTTACATCGATAAAATGGATTTTTAAAAAATACAAAGAATCAAGGAAATGAAGAGTTAGTGCTCTGAGAAAAACCAATAAGATTGGCAAACCCTTAACCAAATGGAATGGGACTAGAGAATGGAAAGGGAAGATCCAAATCAATAAAATTACAGACAAAAGGGGGGCATGACGGTAGACAATGAGGGAACGCAGAGAAGAAGGGGGCCATCGTAGCAGACAACGAGGAAGCCCAGAGAAACATGAGGACATACTTTCAGAATATGTGCCCCACCTAACTGGATAAGCCTAAAAGAAATGTATGTATGACTTACCAAAGTTAAATCAAGATTGGATAAGCAACTTAGACAAGCCCCAAACCCTTAGTGAAATAGAAGCAGTAATTAAAATCTCCCTCACAGGGAAAAAAAATGGGTTCAGGGCAGAATTCTACCAGACCTTCGAAGAAGAATTAATGCCAACACTACTCAAATGACTCTGCAAAAAGAAACAGAAGGAGTGTTACCTAACTCTTTTTATGAGGTCAGTTGCCCTAAACCACACAAAGATCCAGCAAAGAAAAAAAATTACAAAGCAATTTCCTTTATGAACATAAATGCAAAATTTCTCAAGAATACTTGCAAAGCAAATCCAAAAACTCTTTTAAAAACCAGATTATATAATACAATTAAATTGGTTTCATCCCAAAGATACAGGGATGGATCAACATACTGAAATCAATAAATGTAACACACCACATAAATAGACTAAAAGAAAAAAAATATGATCATCTTACTAGGTGTAGCCTTTGACAAAACCTAATATCCCTTCATGATATAAGTACTGGAAAGATTAGGTATACAAGGGCCATATCTGAGCATAATAAAGGTGATTTACAGCAAGCCCACAAGCCAACATCCAACCTCAACAGAAAGTCAAAGCATTTCCACTTAATAGGAATAAGAGAAGGATGTCCACTCTCTCCATACCTATTTAACATAGTATTTGAAGTCATAACTAGAGCAATAAGACAATTGAAGGAGATCAAGGAAAAGAAAGAATCAAATCACCTTTATTTGAAGATGATATGATTTTATACATCATAAATAACCCTCAAAACTACACCAGCTTCTACACTTTCAGCAAAGTATCTGTAAATTCCCAGGTAGTCGGGTAGTTGCTTGTGTCTGTCTACCCAAGACAGAATGGTATATTTTAGGTATCTGTAAATTAGGGAAGTCAGTGACAGGTTCAAAAGACTGACAGTATAATCTGTCCTTTAGGATGCTTTTACTACACAAGCAACCTTTATTTTTTTCAAAAAAAAAATATTATAAACTATAGAGTAACTCACAATGTACACTTACCTCAGCCTTGCTATAGATAGGAACAAATATCCAACCAAGAACAAAGACCATAAAGATAGTCTGAAACCAAGAAAAAGCAGAATTAATCAGGGGCCCATGTGTGTCAATTTCCTAAAAGAGATGCAGGTTCAGGTACTGTCTGAAGATCTCTCTCTCTCTCTCTCTCTCTCTCTTTCTCTCTCTCTCTCTCTCTCTCTCTCACACACACACACACACACACACACACACACACACACTTTAATGCCAGCGTCATCTTCCTCCTATCTGGCTGATCTAACATTTCTTTGTTCACTGTATTCCCTATGAACTAACGAGAATGAAAAACAGCATAATCCTTTTGAAAAACCAAAGACTTCATGCTCTTCATCTCTACTTTTCAAGACATCTCTGATAGTCACTTGAGGTTGAGAGCAAGCTTTTGTGTTTGTGAATCTTCTTTGGACAAGGATCAAGTGATCAGTTGCTAAGGAGTATTACTTACATTCCACTCAAGGGCCCCAACAGCAACTCCTGAAGCCGCACCTATCCCAGCCATGCCCATATAGTGGCCACTGCCGATATTTGCAGAATAAATGGAAATGCCCATCTGAAAATCAGAAGATGAGACTGTGTCAGAGCCCTTGTCACACATAACAAGAATTCATGTTAATGGGCTGAGAGTGGGGCTCAGTCATAGAACACTCGCCTAGTGTCATGGTTGGGGTTTCTATGCTGTGGCCAAACACCATGACCAAAAGCAAGTTGAGGAAGAAAGGGTTTATTTGCTCAATCTGCTGGTGACCCGGAGTTCTGTAAGAAAGCAGATTGAGAAAGCCACGAGGAGCAAGCCAGTAAGCAGCATCCTCCATGGTCTCTGCATCAGCTCCTGCCTCCAGGTCCCTGCCCTTTTTTAGTTCCTGTCCTGACTTCCTTTAGTGAGGAACCACAATGTTGAAGTGTAAGCTGAATAAACCCTTTCCTTCCCAACTTGATTTTAGTCATTGTTTCATCACAGCAAGGGTAACCCTGGAAGCATCTAAAAGGAAAGTAGCTAGTCATTCCCATGAGGGATTTTTCTTGATCTGATTATTTAAAGCAGGAAGTGTGAAAGACACTTTCTGGTGGCATCTCAGGTAATGGACATGGCAGAGGGAACCCTTTGCTGCCTGCTCACCCTCACCCCCTCTAGCAAGTCCTTTCCTGTTGCTACAGCCTTCTTTTGGGGGATTCCAACATGGACAGAAGACCAGGAGCTCTACAGGAACCCTCCAGGCCTTCAGCACCAGATTGGGACTACTGAGAACTCCAGCTCCATAGACCAAGACACTCCGGGATCCTCAGACTCTCCAGAGTGAGACAGCCATTGTTGGACTGCCTCGTGTCAGCCTATCTAACAAATCGTATACATATACATACATGCATACATACATATCAGTTCTGTTCTTTTAGAGAGAGAACCTTAACAAATACAATAGTCGAATCACTATTTAGCATGCAAACAATGATTCTATCGTCCCTTTGCTCCTTCCATCCAGCACCAAGCTATGCTGTACCACTACTGTTGCTCCCTCTACCCTGAACACCCCACACTCTGCCTGCCTGGAAAGGGCATACTGCACCTCAAACCCAACATGCATGACTCTGCCTTTAACAGATCCTTTCTGTGTCGCTAAACCCACAGGCCCAAGTTTAGCTTTCGTCTGTGTTTGGCCTAGGTACTTCTCAATAGACCTATTCACTATAATGCACTGTAACTAGTTTAAATATGAACATTGGACTGGTGGTGGCTCGATGGGTAAGAGTGCTTGTTGCAAAAGCGTGGGTGCTGAGTTCAAACCTCAACAACTGCACAGAAAAACAGGTGTGGCTGCTGTGCTTCTCTACCCTAGCACTCTGGGGAGCAGACACAAGAGAATTCCCAGGAGCTCACTAACTGCCAGCCTAGCTCCAGGTTCAGTAAGAGTCCCTGTGTCAAAGGCAAAGAGCAAAGAAGCAGGAACACTCAGGGTCCTTCTCTATGTACACACACAGGTACTTACACACCTGCACACACAATTAGAATTTTTCAGATGCAGTCTACTTCCATTCATGTGACAGAGTTAGGAAAGAAAAGACTTAAGACACTAAATACATCATCAATGAAATACAGTTGGTAGTTTATTGCAGCGATTGTTACACCAGCACTCAGGAACTGTAAGCATGAAGATTGTGAATTCAAGGCCAGCCTGGGCTACATAGTAAGATTGTGCTGAGGAGGAGAATGAGGATGAGGAGGAAAAGGAGGTCTGATTTAGCAAGTTTAAGTTATTTTGAGCTTAAGGTATATAAGTTAAAATAATAAACAAGCCAACACAGGCTGGGTAGTGGTGACATATGCCTTTAATTCCAGCACTGAGGAGGCAGAGGAAGGAAGATCTCTGAGTTTGAGGCCAGTCTGATCTAAAGAATGGGTTTCAGGACAGCCAGGGATACACAGCGACACCATGTCTTGAAACAAACAAACAAAAAACAAGCCAACAAAGAAAGCTCCCAAGCAGACAGCCACGGACGAGTTTACTCACCAACCACCATGCTAGATTTTGGCCAGCCAGGAAGAAGTCTTTTATTGTTCCACGGCTATGTGACAGTACTGCCTGAAACAGAAACACTGGTGGAAAACCCCATTCATGGAGAAGAGCTGGATGATATATGCTGGTCTTACTATTCTGGTTCTCAAATCTTGGTTGGACATGGGACCCAGGTAAGGCCAAGAGTAATCTGGGGTGCAGGGAGGATTCCTAGTAACAGTGCTGGGGGGGAGGACCCCAGAACTGATGCTCAGCGACTGGAAACAGGACCCAATGCAGATAGATGCTGTTTGTTATGGGTGCACACTCAGGGTTCCCCTTCCTGTTTGCAGTAGATAGAGTCTGTGCTCTCTTCCCTTGGTGTTGGAGGGAGATTAATTAGTTCCAGGAACCCTCGGGAATATGAGACCCCAGGATGTTCAAATCCATCACACAACAGACAGCTCAAGGTTTGCATCTGAACTGCACTATCTTCTGCTTCTTACTTAACCTTTGGGAGTCTCAGTTCAAGTCAGAGTAGAGTCTGGCCTTGCTGTGCCTGGAGAATTAGCTCCTAGACACTCTCAGCTCAAATCTTTTTTATAAAAAAGACATAAAATTTTGATATAATCTCTAGTACATCCTTTTGTATACTTCACATTGCCTCGACATTATAAGTTAGGAGGGGCATTGGTGACGCACGCCTTTAATCCCAGCACTCTGGAGGCAGAGGCAGGTGGATCTCTGTGAGTTTGAGGCCACCCTGGTCTATAGAGCAAGTTCCAGGACAGGCTCCAAAGCCACAGAGAAACCCTGTCTCTAAAGAAAAAAAAGTATAAGTTAGGCGTTATAATACTTAGTTACTGTAAATAATCCAGTTCAAATGAAAGAAAATCTCAAATACGTTCAGCAGGATCGGCTAGATCTGCAGATTGGGGAGCTCCTGGAGACAGAGTTCAGCGGGTTACAGCAGCATGTCTGTATCAGTTGCTGTCATCACCGAGACTCCTCACAAGGACTTTCAAAATGCCATTAAGGTTTGGGGTTCTAGGCTGCAGAGGCAGGCACATTTGAGTTACTTGACTATTATTTTGCGCAGGGGGGATGGGGTGGGGACAGTTATAGGACATAGGAAGGGATAATGGACAAAGTGGCTGATGCTTGGTTGGAAGGGTGGGGAGGGGCTAGGCAAAGGGTGGGCAAGGCCATCCCCTCGGGAGCGCCAGGATGCTGGTGGAGGCCAGGTATCTTGGGGAAGTGGTACACAACAGCCCAGAGTCCATGTCATACCCACAGCCCGAAGAACAGAACCAAAAAGAGGTACGAAGTCATCACCAGTGTGTCCGTGGTGCTGTGAATACTTAAGCCCATGGTGCTATAATTCCTGATGAAGGAGATGCCACGGTAATTCTCCGGGGGGTCCATGGCAGCCTTTCTGAGACAGGTAAGCACTTGCAGCCAGAATGCAGCAACGGTTCTGGACCCAGTTCCACTCCTGGTTCGCAAGGCATCCTGGGAAGAGCCACGAAACAGCCAGTAGGCTCTCCCAGTCCTGATTATTCTCAAGCATAGACTTCCCTTTCTTTTATTCCAATTAAACATGCACACACACACACACACACACACACACACACACACACACACGCACGCACGCACGCCCGCACGCGCGCGCGCGCGCACACACACACACACACACACACACACACACACGCACTACGCGCACGCGCAGGAGGGAGAGAGAGAGGCAGAGAGAGGCAGAGAGAGGCAGAGAGAGAGAGAGAGAGAGAGAGAGAGAGAGAGAGAGAGAGAGAGAGAGAGAGAGAGAGAGAGAGAGAGACCTTTTTGGCTGCCAGGTCAGTCCCAATGCTGTCTCTGCATTAACTACAAGCAGTCATCCCTGGCTAAATTTGGGTTCAGGTGGGACTAACAGGACAACTGAAGCAGGGTCATTAATGGTATCTTTGTTTGGTTTTTGGTTTTTCGAGACAGGGGTTCTCTGTGGCTTTAGAGGTTGTCCTGGCATTCTCTCTGTAGACCAGGCTGGCCTCGAACTCACAAAGATCCACCTGCCTCTGCCTCCCGAGTGCTGGCATTAATGGTGTCTTTACAAGCTGTATTGGATTCTGGAGCAGAGACTGAAACCAGAAGCATCACTCCTATCTTTAAAATCAATGTTTGTGTTTTGAACTTAGTGGATTTTTCCATTAATTTTAATTAAAATGTCATATCAAAATGGTATCTACCTTAATTTCAGAGGCTCTCTCTCTCTCTCTCTTTCTCTCTCTCTCTCTGTACTTCCTTAAACTATGGGCCAAGGAATTCTTCAGCTCTTTATGACAGTCACAGTTCTGGGTGGCAGGATTGATCACAAGAACTTTTCAGTTTTGTGAAATTCTTTTTATTTTCTCTATATGGGTATTTTGCCTACACGTACACCCTGTGTACCCCTGGCATGCCTTGTGTTCTCCGAGACTAGACGACGGGGTCAGATCCCCTACAACTGTAATTATGGATGGTTGTGGACCAATCTGTGAGTGCTGGGAATTAAATCTAGGTTCTCTGGAAGACCAGTCAATGATCTTAACCACTGATCTATCTCTCTAGCCCTTGTAGATCAACTTTAAATTATTTTTAAAGAAAAAAACTTTTTCTTCTTCCTTTGTGTGTGTAGGTAGGTACTGGGATGGAACCCAGGACCTGGTACATACTAAGCAAGGACTCTGCCACAAATATGTTCCAAACTGATATGCCCAACTTTATTTTTATCGGTACATTTCTTTGTTAAGTGTTACTTTAGCCTTGATGGGTGAAGGGGGAAAGAGAACATGAAGTGAATGGATAGGAAAGGAGGATAGATATGGGAGGACCCGGGAAAGGGAATGAACAGGAACAAAATGAACTGTATGAAACTCAAAGAACTAATAAAAGTGGAGAAAAGCTTGCCTTAGTAAATCTCGCGATTATCTTTTCCTCTGCATCAGATATGAATGAAATAATGGGTTTCTAATTGGCTTTAAAAAGGCTTTCCTTACCTTGTCATAGACACAGACTGTTTGATTATTTTGAGAACTAAGGGGATTAATGTATGTAAAATTCGTAGAAAGGAGTCTGGCACCCAATAATAGCCAAGTGTTAGACATTCTTTCAGTCATTATTATTATTGATAAAGATTTACTGGGTAGTATTGCTCCAGGAGATAGATTCTTACTCTAAACCAGGAGCCACTCCATACTACCATAGAGGGACACCTGTGGGCTCTCTGTAAGCACTGAGTCTTCCATAGAAAGAATGGGCACATTTAAAAGGAGAGACACGCTCAGATGTTCCCGTTCCTGTTCCTCTTCCCAAGTTCTAGGACACAGCCTGAAGTTGCTTAGTTTCAGCACTAGGTGTCACTGTCTACTCATAAATAAGCACAAAAAGACCACGCTTGCCTTTTTATTTTTAATCAACTTATTTATTTGGATTTTGAGATAGGATCACACAGCGTAACTTTGGCGGGCATGGAATTTGCTATTTAGATTAGAATGTTCTTGAACTCAGAAAGATCTGCCTGCCTCTGCCTACCTGTTGCTGGGACAGCACCACCACACCCTGCCCAAAACTGACTTTTGAGGACACATGGCAGTCCTGTCACAGCGTCCCAAGTGCTTAGGGTTCCCCATACCCCGCAAACGTTCTAAATTGGTTGTTAAACATACCAGTGCACCACTAGTCATAGCGACCATCTAGTAACTAACACTGATTGAGAAAGTGAGGCCGGCAGTGCCACGCTTAATGCGGGAGTTTAGAGATGGTAAACAGCTGGAGAGTAAGAAGAGTTGAGATGATCAAAAGGTGCTTTATTTGCCCCCCAACAATGTGTTAAATGTTGCCAGACAGAAAAACTCAAAGATCTGAAACCTCAAACTTCCCAACTCTCTCGGGAATCCACAGGGACTGAGAACAGGACAAATGCTTGGTGTGGTCAGGGTTTCCTGGCTGGAGGTCCGCAAGTGGACCCAGATCCTCTACAAGGTGGCGACACAGCTCCTCATATAGACTTTAAGCCAACTGGGGCACCCACACCCTGGGCCAGCGGAGCGACAGGTGGGTCCGGTGGACTGCGTTGGGATGGGATGGGGCATCTGGGTTGGGGTGAAGCTGTACCGGATTTCCGGAGGGCCTGGGGTCCCCACCCGACCTTCTCCCCCACCTCTTCCTCCCCTACTCCACCTCCCACCTCCCTGTCCCCCTCCCCCCTTCGTCAGTGGAAACTTCCGGGACCACTCTAGGCTTCACGGAGGTCTCAGCATCTGTGCTCCTGCTGCTGAGCCAGGCTCCTGGTTGGTTAGCAGGGTGTCGCCTCTTTCTGGCGGTGGGGAGAGTAGAGTGGAGCCCGCGTTGGACAGAGTGCACTGGGAAATGCTGAGGTTGGAAAAGGGGAGTCTAGAGCCTCAGATAACTGCTGCACTTCCCCCCCCCCCCCCAGGCTCGAATCAAGCTCCTTTCAGTAACCCTGGCCTTGCCTGTCCCTTCATCCCAAACTCCCACGCATCTACCCTCCGCGCTCTCGCCACCCACATAAGACCACAATGAAATGAAGTGGGGGTTAAAGGTTGAAGCGCCCAAAGATAGTCAAGACTGTAAGCTGACTCCTCCTGGGACTCTGGATCCCCCAAATGCGTCTAGGTGCTCACCTCCGGAAACGAGGCGTTTCTTTGTTTTTTGAGACAGGTTTTCTTGTGTGTGTAGCCCTGCCTGTCCTGGAACTCACTAAGTAGACCAGGCTGGCCTCGAACTTAGAGATCTGCCTGCCTCTGCCTCCCCAGTGCTGGGGTTAAAGGTGTGCGCCATAACCTGATGACTTTTGGTGGAATGGGGCACTTCTTAGAGACACCAGGGGAGAAGCTAGGTATAACTAGGGGTTATGTGTGTCTGCTTTTCTGCGATCCTGGAAACTGAGTCCAGGGACACCATTTATACTAAGCAAATGCACTTTCCTTGATCTGGAACCCCTTGCCCATGAATTTTGTTTGGGTTTGAGACAAGGTCTATGTGTCTATCCTTGACTGTCTGGAACTCCCTATGTAGACCAGGCTAGCCTTAAAGGCCCAGACATCCACCGAGTGTTGGGATGAAAGGCATGTGCCATCACACTGGTTCAGGGATCTTTTTGAGGTCTCCAATCCCACCCAGTTCAGCTTCTCACAACAAGACTGGCCCTACAGTTCATTGTGCCACCCCTTGACTCCTCAGGTGTAGTCGCCCATCTGTGGGAAAGCTTCCCCAAGGGGAAACCAATAGAACACACTGTCTTTGAGGGGGAGGGAGCTGCATACCTGCTTTCAATGTCCCCATCCCTGTCCCTCAGGGCTCTTCTGAGAACGCTTGCCCCTGGCCATCAAGGATCAGTGAAGATTGGAGACTTGTCCAGAGACTTGAGTGGAGCAGCAGGTGCTGTCCTAGCCCCCAAGCCACCAGCATGAACTCCATGGGGACCAGCCACCCAAAAACAACGATCGTTGGGCCACAATCAGCCATGTGGAGCTGGCAGGGGCAGGGGTGGGGTTGTGGGGGGGGAAGGTTAGTTCCTTTTTCTCTCCCTTTAGCTCATGAGGTCACTGGAAGGTCAGGCACCAAGCTAAACCCGAAGGTCAGGCACCAAGCTAAACCCCTGGGGATAGGGAAAAGGCTGAGCCATGTTTCATCAGGGTCTCAGGCTTTTCCTCTTTTGACAGCAGTCATCAGAATCCCAACTCCCTCGTCCTCTGATTTGTAATTTTTTTTTTCTTCCAGGATCTTGAGGTTATGATGTCTGTGGTTGGATGCTGAATGTTATTAACTCAGATTGTGCGCTGGGAAGGTGGAGGTGCGGGGCGGGGGGGGGGGGCAAGACTCAGGAAGAAGAGAGGCCCGAGGTCAGGGCAGACAGGACAGAAGTAGGTGACACACAGAAGACATTCATCCCCATACCCCAGGCCTAGGGATCAAAGGTGTACGCAATGGAACAAAAGTAATCTGCATCGTCCTCGGGCTGCACAGGGCTGATGGTCAGCACACTGACATTGTGGTCCACATCCGAGCTCGCTGAGAACCTGCCAGGAATGTCATCGGGCCGATAGTGCTCCTCTTCCGAGTGATAGTAGAGAAGTTGAGGGGCACTACCTGGGCGCTGCTGATACCAAGACACGCCAAAGTCCCCAATGGTGGCATGCTGGGAGTTGATTGTGCAGCTGAGTTGAGCCACTTGGCCTGGGAAGACCAGTAGTGCATCAGCATAGGTCAGGGCTGGCCGGAAGACTGAAAGATACAGACCCACTGAGGGCTAGCCTGGGCCCCTTCCTTCCTGCCTTTCTATTTTGTTAGATCCCCAAGGAGACTCCCAAAATTTTCATGGCCCACTGTCATAGGACTGGACCTGGATGGAGCATGGAGGGCCTGGTTCCATGAGAGTTAGTATGCTCTCCACAGCTCCATTTTCCTCTGTGAATGAGGGCCTTGGAGGAGGTGATGCCTAATTTAGCATTATCGTCTTGTCTTCAAGAATCCATGTTCAGCTGAGAGCCTAGTGTTCAAGCATGAAACTGGAACCGTTTAGGCCCCCAGTACCCACTATCCCCTTCTCTGTAGACCCTTGCCCCTCAATCTTCGAGCTCTTCCAAACCCTGGCTACAGGCTAACTGCCCCCCCAGGATCCTCCCCGAATGCATAACCATCACCTTTCGTTTCAAGCTTCTGACCATAGAGGACAACCTTACAGGGTCTATGGAGTAGGGGACTGTCCATATCAACTTCCCCTGTGAGAAACAAAGGTAGCCAGCTGTCATCTCTTCAGACTCCAAAGGGTCATAGTATAAGGGGACTCACAAATGGGGAAACCAAGGCCCACACAGGAAAGTGCCTCCTGGAGCCTGGTCTGCACTCCACTCCATGCCTCTCTTAGGACCCACCTCACTGACTACTGATTTGCTTCTTTGCCAACCCCCACCTCACTCCCGGAGGAGTCTTACCTGCCAAGAAGGCTCCAGTCAGGAGGAGGCCAGGACAGGCCATGGCCAGAGGCAGAAGGCTGTCCTCGAGTTGTTCTGCTCTGCTGTGCTCTGGGTGCCTGTGGTACAAGGATGGGAAGCCTCTGGACCACAACAGAGCATGCAAATCAGCCCACTGACTGAAGGAGGCATGTCAGGTCCTGTCTTCCATGCGTCCTGACTACACAGCCAGCGGGAGATCAGAAGTTCAGAGGCCTTCACCCCTAGTTTCCAAAGTTGAAATTCCCCCAGACAGCCCCCTTATACCCTTTTCTAGTCATTAACAGTGTCTACTCACTAGAACAGTGGTTCTCAACCTGTGGGTCCTGACTCTTCCACAGATGTTGCCTAAGGCCATCAGAAAATATATCATGGCAGTAGCAAAATTATGGCAATGAAGTAGCAGCAAAAATAATGCTATGGTTGGGGGTCACCATGACATGAGGAACTGTATTAAAGGGTCACAGCATTAGGAAGGGTGAGGACCACTGCTCTCTAGAATGTCCTCAAAAAGGTCCAGGGGTCCCCCAGCTTGACACTGTTGGGACCTAGTGGGATGTCTTTAGATCAAGAAGACTATGGCCTTAGTGGGCACATTTTTCTCTCTTGCTACGTGGCCTGCCGTGACTTCTATCCCATGCTCTCTGCCATGACACACTGCACGACAGACCCAGAAGCAACGGCGCTGGGGACTGGAACTCCAAACCTGTGAGCTAGAACTAACCTTTCCTCTCTGAGCTGATTATCTCAGGCGGTTGTTACAGTGATGGGAACCTGACCAATAACATAACCTCCCAAGGGACAGTCATGCTGGTTTTTAGCACACTAGATTACTTCTGTTTGCTGTAGAAATTCTACTATAAGTAGAGCGTGTGTGTGTGTGTGTGTGTGTGTGTGTGTGTGTGTGTGTGTATGTGTGTGTGTGCTTCTTTTGTTCAATATTAAGAGTCAACCATGTGGGCAGGGCACAGTAATGCCTACCTTTAGTTAGACCAGTCATGTGACTCTTGAGACAGGAAGGCGGAGGAGAGAAAAAACCCAGCACAGATAAAGGCAACTCTCAGAGCTTAAAAAGGCTCCCGTCCTCCAGCCAGAGTCTGGCTCTGGCTGCCACCATCCCCACACTTAAAGCATCTAAGTTATTTCTGTGGACATAGGTCCTCCAAAAATAGTAAGGAAGCGAGTAAGCTTTGAAAAGAATGCTTGCTTCCACAGTGCTGTTCTGAGGACTGCAGTGGTTTTTAAAGTGCTATGCATGACATTTAAGATGGGCACAGTGACACCCACCTCTAATCCAAGCACTTATCAGGCTGAAGCAAGAATTCTGAAGGAAGAAGTAAAAGAAACTGATGTTTATATCTTTCTTTTTCTAAGGGATTTACCAATAAACTTACTTCAGAAATACTAAGTTGAACCAAGGTAAAATGTAGCTAAAGGAGTATGCTGCTGCCAGGCAGTCTAGAGAAGATGGCCCTGGCTGACAATGCCCACTAAGCCCCATGCATGCCTCTGTCAGAAAGAGCATCATTCTGCCAGCCAGGCAGGATGATCCTGGTTAACAGCTGCCTGGGAAATGCAGCTGTGGTCTGTCTCGTGATAACTTTGGCAATACTCTTACATTGGAAATCTCCCCATTTGTCCAAACAATCAAACCTTAGGATTTCTGTCTCTGTAAAAGATGTTTAATTGCTCAAAGTGTAATCGGGGCCATGAAACTATAGAAGTAGAAAGGGATTTATTTTTGTCCACGGCTGGTTTCTGTTTGTGCATTAGCTGGAGCCAACCGTGCACAATCACTGTAGAGTTTTTCCGTCATTTATTTCTAAGCGGCGGAGTGATTTCTCACTGGGAAGGCATATTAATTCTGCGACATCATGAATCAAGACCATCTGGGCTACATACAAAACCTGTCTCCAATAACAGTAACAACAAAAAAAAAGTACTGTGAAAGCCACAGTAACCACAAAGTCACAACAAGCCTGCGGGTCCTGATGTCTATTTCCCTTTTACAAATGAAAATAGGCTAACAAAAGAAGAGTGTTTGTCTAGGGGCAAAATGGGTCAGTGGTAAGCTAGATAGAGGACGCAGATTTCTTCCAACTTACCCATCCAGAAATGTGCCTGCAGGAGGCAGAACAAACAGCCTAACCATGGGGCTACCCTCTGACACTATGCTTGGGGGAGTGTAGTGGGGAAAAGACATAACACCAAGGCAGAGAGATGGGAAGCAACATGAGAGAATGGAAAAGAATGAGGAACAGAATTTTAAAAACCAATTAAAGGATAACCACCGAGATGGAAACCAGAACATAACACTAATCGTGAGAATGTAGAATGCCGAAGAGGGGGGTGGGGGTGGGGCATGAGAGATGGGCAGATATAGGACTTTGAGTGAAAGCCAGGGTTGCCCAGAGAATAACTCAGTGGTGGAGCTCTTAGCATTCGTGAGTCCCTGGATGGATACGAAAGAAGGTAGCAGAGGCAGTAACTAGTAGTGAGGAATAACAAGCAGGTGTTTCTGGCCTGCTATAGAGCTAGGAGGTCCAGATCCGCCCCCCCAAAAAAAAAGACAGAAAAGCAAGACAATGCCACACATCGGAAAATACACATTCAGCAGATGACCCTGCAGTTCTCCCGTGATATTCGCTAGAGAAATGAGAACCAACCCCACAAGAATGTGTAGACAAAAGTTTATACTAGCTTTATTCATAATCTCCCCAAACTCCAAAACAATGGCAGGTGAAGGAGTGAGTCAATTCCCGGACACACAAATGACACAACACTTCTCAGCAATGAGTGAAGATACTGCAGGCCGTTTGCTCTGAGCCCACTTATGAGACACCCTGGAAAAGATACATAGGAAACAGCTGTGGATGCCAGGGACTAGCGCTGATTATACAAATACCAACAACAGACAGAGAGCCTCCAAAGATGAAGGGGCTTGGGAGCTAACATAACATTGCAGGAGAGATATAACCTGCAGCAGCACACTAGGAGCCATTCGAGGAGGCTTGAAGCACGAGGAAGTGAATTACATAAGGTATTTTGAAACAATAATCCTTGGCTACAAGGATCAATAACAAGGGTGGCCCGAGTCCAAGGCTAAACACACAGTTGCTGGGTGGATGGCCTAGTAGGCATGTTTCTGTGTGACGCTGTGGTGGCCTTTGTGCAAAGATGTGGTTGTGGCAGTATTTTGTGGTTAATTCTTGTCATTAGACATACATGCATAAAATTCCCAACTGTACCCATCCAGCTTTAGTTATTTGGAGGAGGACGGAGGCTAAGAACTGTTTTTTCTTTTCTTTCTTTCTTCCTTTCTTTCTTTCCTCTTTCTTTCTTTCTTTCTTTCTTTCTTTCTTTCTTTCTTTCTTTTTCTCTCTCTCTGTTTTCCAAGACAAGGTTTTTCTGTGTAGCCCCAGCTGCCCTGGAACTCTCTATGTAGACCAGGTTGACCTTGAACTCACAGAGGTCTGACTGCCTGTACCTCCTCAGTGCTGGAACTAAAGGTGTGGGCCACCACCTCCCAGCTCAAGGACTGTTTTTATTCTCACAATTTCGAAGAGTCACTATCTATGGAAAGGGGTGATGGAGACATTCTGTATCTTGGTTGTGGAAATTGGAGATTTTTCAACAAGATGGCTCAGTAGGGAAAGGAGTTTGTCACCTAGCCTGACAACCTGAGTTCAATCCCCAGGACCCTCAAGGTGGAAGGAAAGAAGCAGCTCCCATAAGTTGTTCTCTGACCTCCACACATATGCACTGTGGTTCATTCATACATACAAAAACATACATACAAAATGAATAAGTGTAAATATTTTTCATGCATACATGTTCATACATACAAAGTAAATAAGTGGAAATGTTTTCCTAATTTGAAAGCATTCCAAAGGGGGACATACATTATACCTCTATAAATGTGACTAACAGAAGACAAAAGGGAACAAGTGTCCGAAGCTGTCTTTGTGGGGCTGCAATTGGAACCAGCCGAGCGGCCCCAAGTTCGTACCTGAGTGGAGGGGTGTGGATGAGGGAAAGGCTAGCTATAGACGATAAAGAAAAGACAGAGACACAGAATAAAATCAGGAGGGCAGGTCAGTCAATACTGAATACCACGAGTTCATTTTTCAGCACTCTTTTATATCTTAATCAAAAAGGGGAACATGGTATCATGTGTATGGAACAAACAGCCTTTTCTTCCTCACTTATTCTAAGGGTTCAGTAATGACACCTTAGATCCAATTTCTTGTTCCCTAGCCTTGAGGGCAGGAGTAGCCATACCTCAGATTCAGGTCTGTTGTTATTTAGACTAAGACAGCCAAACATCCTACTGTAGCCACACCTTTGACCTATAGGTCTAATGACTTGCTGAGGACAGTTTTGAACTCTCTGCCCTTGTGCCAAGATGGAGCGTAGCCATCTTTATGGGCAGTGACAAACAAGGGCAGAAGAAAATAACTGGAAGGCTGGGAGCGAGGAAAAGAAAGCCACAGGGAAGAGGTCATTGGTGAGGGAGGATACTCACATCCCTGCAACTGCACACTCTCCCTGGTAGGGGATGTGATCTCTGAAACAGTACCCAGGCATCCTAGAGACCCCGGTCTGGAGCCTCTACCATGGGCCTGACCAGAGCTCCACCTGAAGGCCCGCCCCAGAAGGTCCAGTTACCAGGATACAGGGGATAAAGCATTTCCTGCCTAGATGTCTGGGCAGCTCCCACTGCCATGGAGACCACTGGGAGCTGAAGGAGCTGCTGGCACCCAGAAAGCAGCAGCAGAGGAGGCTAGTAGTCTTGGACTAGCTGAGCAAGTGGTAAGAAGGGGTCAGACTCGAGCAGGAGCCAAGCCCACCTACTCAGCAAGCCTCAGATGCACAGTTCCCAGGTGGGATCTATGGAAGGGAGTAGCCGGAGGAGGGGGTTCAAAGGTCCACGATCTGTTTGTCTTCTTCCTTCTGCAACCATGTTTGTCACTGTGATGTTTGGAGGTAAGCAGGGTCCCCTGTCCTGCAACATAGGGGCATACTCACAGTTGTTCATCCCTCTACCCCAGAGACCTAGGAAGGAGAGATACAGGCTGGGAGGGAGGGGCAGGGGAATTTGAGAAAGCTGTTTCTATGAGGCAGCAAAGCAATGCCAGGACAAGGAGCAGGGCCAGACTCTGGGAGGACTTCAGTTGTGGTCTCCTGTACACTACATAGCAAGAGATGGATGGAAGGTCCAATCGGTTCAAGCAGCATTTGCAGAGGGTATTAGGCCTGATGCACAGTACTAGTGGCATAATCCTCTTGTCATCTCTAGGCATGGGAGTGGAAGTTCTCTTAGTTGGGGGAGGCTGTGACATCCTACCCACTCAGTTATGCCCCTCCCTTAGCTGGTTGTCAGGTGCTGGTGAACCCCTGGTGCAGCCTGGTGACCTTCATTAGGCACCTGAAACAGAAGGCTCAGGTTCCCCCAGAAGGTGAGGAGACTTGGAGGGCCTGGTGAGGAAGGATTGAAGGCCCCGTGCCGGGGTGCAGCCTACCCAGCTTATTCCCATTTCTGCCCAGTAACCATTGCTCTTCTGGCTGAAGACGGGCACCTGGTGAAGCTGGAAGAGGGGATCGCCGAGCCCCCCTCCATGGCCTATTCCCTGCTACAGGAGCAAGGGACCTATGTCCTGGTACAGGTCATTAGTAAGTGGGGCCCAAGATTCTCCTTTGTAGCTATGTTGGACTATAAGGGAGGGACAGCAGGCCACAGACAAGCTAAGATCCTGTTCAGCCTCAACCTTGGCTGGGTCCTATACCCAACCATCCTCATCCAATGCCTGTCCTGACCCCAAGCCTAGGCTAGTTTTGTATGGGGACCACTAAGCCAGTCTAGGGTCCTTTGCTCTCTCTATACTCTGCAGAAGGGAAAGATGGGACTCCCACCCACTATGAGTCTCTACTGGACAACTTAGATGACCAATGTCCAGAGTTAGCGGGTAAGTACCAAGGTAAGTGGGGGTAGGGCCCATCTACTCAGCTCCCAGCAACAGGATTGTCTGGGCCTTCCAGAGGAGCTGTGCTGGCTCTCCGGCTTTCCGGGCACAAGCAACAGTCAGAGAAGACGCACAGGCATTCGGCGTGGCCACCGGGAACATGGTCCCCCTTCAAGGTCTCGAAGGGTAGCCTCCCTACCACCTAGAAACCGCTAACTGGAGCCAGAGCCAGGTACAGAAGAGGTATGGAAACCCAGGAACATCCAAAACAGGGAGCCCTTCCCAAGGGACACAGGTGCTGAAGGGTACAGCCTTCACACATATACACACCCAGAGCAGTACACATTGTACCTAGAGATAAGTCCCACTATACTGCTGGAATATAAGCATCCTAAAGGCAGAAATGCTCTGAGTCAGGAATCTGGTACACATTTCTCCAGCCTGGCACAGCATAGGTGCTCTATGCATAGTTGCTGACTGAACCCAGTGTGTGATAAAGTGGTCTGTGCTGGGATCTTAAGGGCCCACTTCCTTTCCAGCAGGTCCTATGACCTGGCGTACCACAGACAAGTGGCCCAGCTGGACCTGGATCCAAGGGGACTGGCCCTGACCTCTGCATTTATGATCAACTGCAAAACAGACAGCGGTCCAACAGCACCTCCTCTTTCAGAACCTGGCATTACTAAGAAGTTGCATCAGCAAGAAGGGAAAGGTCACAGACAGGATGGGAGAGCCCCCCTCCCACCCCCTTCCCCCATTTGAGGGCAGGGAAAAGGATCCAAGGACCAAAACAAGAGTGAGGGGGCAGATGTTCCTGTGGGGCAAAAACAGTAATCTGTCCTTAACTACCCACAAAGCAGATTATAACAGGGTTCCTACCCCCACCCAGAGGTCCAAGTACAGCCTAGGGTTACACAGCAAGAGACATTCTCCCCTCCCTTTACACACACACACACATCTCCCACCAGACAGGGAGTCAGTGAGCACACAGCAGGCTGTGGTCTACAGTAAACTCTTTAATTGAACATTTATGTCTTTTGTTAATCAGCAGGGTGAGAATTACCCTCCTTACTCCAGTTCCACGTACAATCTCATCTTGGTCAGGGCTGTCGGTGAGGGGTTAAGGGTAAGAGCAGGCCCATGGCCTCCTCAGGGCAGGGAGCTCAGACCTGTGGAGGGAACCAGAAGACAAACCAGTGATCAGCTGTCACCAGAGTGTCCACCCCTCCCAACCCCACCAGTGTCACCCCAACTGCTCACCGTGATTGTATTTACACTGCTTCAGAGCTTCACTGAAGCCCTCGCATAGAGTTAGGTCACTCTGAGTGGTCGAGCAATCCAGGAACTGCTTGATCTCATAGGAGCAGGGCCCCATCTGTAGGGGGTAAGACGCCTGACGGGCAGGGGCCTAGGGGAGAGTATAAGAGGCAAAACTGTCAGCTCAAGGTTGGCACCCAACATCAAATACTAAAGCTCGAGGCTTCCTGCCTCTCTGCATAACCCCACCCCTGGTCCCCCAAGGATGGTTCAAGGCAAGCTGAGTGACCAAGACTAGATTGCCCTTCCAGCCTCAGCTGCATCCCTGACACAGGTTGTCTCTTAACGGATAGACAACGGTTTTCTTTCTGCCTCAAAATGGACATGCTGGGCAAATGTAGGAGGGGGAAGAGAAGGCTCTAGAAAAAGCTGTACACTACATGTATACACAGAGTGACCTACTTCCAAGACACAGCACTATCCTGGCGCAGCCACACTGAATCTCATGACTCAGGACTCACACCGCAAACTAGCATCTGGATTTGGCTCAAGTGTGGTGGGAAGTGGCAGAACCCTAGTGGGGCAGAGGTCACCAGGGAACAGATGCCATGATGGCAGGCTGGGCTCTGGTGATCACATGGGCTTGGGAAATACTGCATCTCTCTCTGCTCAGCTAGGGTTAGATGTTCTGGGACAAGTCTGCACTAATCTGAGCTTGGGTTTCTCCATCTTTCAAGGTCTAGGGGGTATCTGTCTCTAGCAGTCAGACATTTTGGCTGCTGGGGCGAGGTTTCCAGGCATTCACAGTAGGCTTAACTTAGGGTTAGGGCCCTCTTTTGAACTCTGAACACACTGGATCACCCTCGCTGGACATTTAAGCGGTTCCTTTTGTCTCCTTGAGCAAATTCTGCCTCCGTTTCTCTTTAGTCCACTCGCTCACCTGCTGGACAGCAGGCTGGGCAGGCTCCGAGCTTCCCCCACTGAAGGCGCTGGTCAGGGCATTACCCATGACATGCCCTACAGCTGAGCCCACAGCTACACCAGCAGCGGTGGATGCCATTTGAGCCATAAGGCCCGGCTGGCCCGAAGCGGCAGGTGCTGGGGCGGCCGCTGAGGGTGGTGGGTGCGCAGGAGGGTGTGCTGGGCGGCTGCAGGAAGCAAGGGGAGGCAAGGTTAGTGCTCCTGGGAAAAGCTCCTCTGCTCTGAGGACCAGGGCGACCTTCATCTTAGACTCGTGTTTCTGCACCCCCGGTCCTCCCCCAAGCCAACATGGCGCAGCAGCTTCCAAGGTCATTCTGCGGACGCCCTTGGGAGAGTCCCCGAGCTTCCCTCACCCTTCCCCACGGGGTCCCTGTCCCCCCTCACACCTGGCCGGCCTGGCAGCCGCGCTGCGGCTCCCCCGAGGCATGACAGTAGTAGGACCAAGGAGAATCAGAATAAGAAGCGTGGACCGTAGCACTCGCTCGGTGCGGGGAACAAACGCAGCAGCGTGCGACGAGTCAGGTGAAAAGGGTGGAATCTGAGGCGGAGCCTCGGGACACGCCCATAAAAGGGAGGGGCAAGCCTCCCCCTTCCAGTAACCTTCTGGATTAGGGCGGTGAGCCATCCTAGTGCGGGGCGGAGCTATGAGGGTCCAGGAGACACTGGTCAGTGTTGCAAACCCCTATGCTTAAGCAGGTGCAGAGAGTGCAGGGCTTTCTGTTAGCCCATCGCAGAACCCAAGGGGTTTGTCACGAGGGGAAGAAGAGACACTTAGGCCATCAGCGGAACAGGGAACGGAGATTCCAGGCCCGGCTTCGCCCCCTGACTCCTGTCACAAGATAGAGTTTGACAATAGCCATTCCAGGATCACCAAAGGACTGGAGCCCAAAGGCCTTCAGTGATCCATTATCAGAATTCGAGCCAGGAGGTGTCTCGGTCCTTCTTCGACTCTCACATTGCGCTGGCATCCTTGAGCTATGCCTGTCCAGGTGCACACAAGACCCTTAACCCTGAGACCACACTACCACAGGCCCCTTGACCCTGGGATACAGAGCCAAAAACTGATAGTGTTTTTGAAACATACAAGCCGTCCTAGAGGTGACCTGAATACCTAGAGGTGTTTGCCAGCAGAGGTCAAGCCAAACTTAGGTTTTAGCATTTTTAGCACCTTTGGCCTTTGTTTGAGAGCGCTGGGGTCATGTCATAACCTCTGGCAGGAAAAAAAAAAAAAAAAGTTAAAAAAATCTGGGTGGTGCTGGTGCATGCTTTAGTCCCAGCATTTAGGAGTCAGAGGCAGGTAGATCTCTGTGAGTTTGAGGCAGCCTGGTCTACAGAGGAAATTTGTGTAGCCAGGGCTACACAAAGAAACCCTGTTTTGGAAAAAAAATAATAATAGTAGTAGTAATGATAATAGTAAAGTAACGGCTGGTCAGAGTAGGGCGGGCACAGAGGGATCATGATTCCCCCCCCCCCTTCTGTCAGTGTTTTTGTAACAGCAGAATCATCCAGCACCAAACATTCAACAGTAAAAGTTTCAAGAACAGGGGGTCAAAACTATTCAGGACCACACACTGGATGAGAAGGCCATGACCATCCCTGTGTCCCAAACCTTTCCTTTCCTTTCTTTCTTTCTTTCTTTCTTTCTTTCTTTCTTCATTCCTTCCTTCCTTCCCTCCCTCCCTCCTCCCTCCCTTCCTTCCTTTCTCTCTTTCTGAGACAGGGTTTCTCTGTGTAACAGTCCTGACTGTCCTGGACTAGCTTAGTAGACCAGGATGACCTTGAACTCACTGAGATCCTCTTGCCTCTGACTTCCAAGTGCTGGGACTACAGGTGTGGGTCACTACTGCCTGGCCCAAACCTTGATTCTTTCAGCAGCCTCTGTGGTCAACCCTCTTCTACCAGGACTTTAGTTCTCTTCTGAAATGGAATCATCACCTATCTGCAAGTAAAAGATGAGCCACTCATCTTCCCCCCCCCCTCCCCGCCACCAAAGAAACGTCAGGCTTTGCTCCAGACCCATTGGGTTATAGGTCTGGTCTCTGCTTACCTGGAATTAAGTGGGCAAGTGGTAACATCCTTCCAGGTTCAACTTCTTCTGCAGGCATCTGTGTCTAGCCCACCTATATAAATGCACCCATCTGCCTTCCAGATCCTGCACCGGGATAGTAATGCCTTAGCTGCTGGCTGGTAAGTTGCTGGTTTCTCAAAATATGGCCATGCATTCCTGGCAACACTGAAGGCTGTTTATGTGCTGCACAAATAAATGTTTTAGGGTTGGGGGTTGTTTTGTTTTGTTGAGACAAGGTCCCTCTATGTAGTCTGGCTGTCTGAGAATTCACTGTGTATCCACACTGACCTCAAACTCACAGAGATCCACTTGCTTCTGTCTCCCAGGTGTTGGGATTAAAGGTGTGCATCATTATGCCCAGGCTGGCCTCAATCTCACAGAGATCTACCTGCCTCTGCCTCCCTAGTGCTGGGATTAAGGGCATGTGCCACCACTGCCTGGCAAAAGGTGAGGATTTTTAAAAGATCACAGATGCCCAAGTAAAACGAACTACTCTATGGCCTCCAGCTTGCAGCAACTCAGGGCCCTGTCTGCCTGCCCGTCTGAATCTTAGCTTTGCAGGTTGCCATTGTTGTGGGATATTTGTACACTGTGTGAAGTATATTGCTGTGATTTATGTAATGAAAAGATGAACTTCCAATAACAAGGCAGGAGGTATATCAGGGGTTTCTGAGGAGAGATAGGCAGAAGAGTAGGAATCTAGGCATGAAGGAGACTTCAGGAGATACTGAGAGGAAACAGGAGGTTCAAGATGTGATAGAATGTAGATTAATATAAATGTGATAATTTAAGTTATAAGAACTAGTTAGGAACAAGCCTAAGCTATAGGCTGAGTTTTCATAATTAATACCCCTGTTGTTATTTGTGAACTGGTGGCCTAAGGGAAAGTCCACCTACACAGATGGGCACCCCTTGCAGAGATGAGAGTGGATGAACCTTTCCAGCATCTATACCTCACTCTAGACCTTGCTTCTCTCCTTCACATCTCAGATGGCTGGGCCTAACTGGTCAGGAAAAGCCCGTTGGCCAGGGCCTGAACAACATGGGCTCCAGTGACCCGCTCAAAAGTCCTCCTATGCTCCTCTTCTCCCAGCCACGGAAGTCTGTATGTATGTGCATCATTGTGTGCCTAGTATCCTTTGAGGTCAGAAGAAGACATCAGATCCTAGGACAGCCACTATGTGGGTGCTAAGAATGGGACCTGGTTTCCTGCAAGAGCAACAGTGCTCTTACCGATAATCCATCTTTCTGGACCTGTCTCTGGTTTGTTTAAAGGTGAGGGGCTGGCCAGCTTCTGACATATGCCTTAGTTTCCCCAGAGGTCATATTTCAATTTCCTGTTCCTTTCAGCAACTATTGTGCCACCTTCCTAGTGGATTGGCGAGGGCTGTGAGGATAGGGGCATTTGACCACCTGTCACAGACTAAAAGAAGTCAGACAGAGGTCAAGCCACCAGGGAGACCTGGCAGAGGATGGGAATTCTGAAAGTGGGGTTGGAGAACAGGAGGAATAATTTCTCTGCAACTCTCACCCCTCTGGGGACTCCTGCCTAACCCAGGCTGGGGTTGCAGGCTGGCTGAGTTTAGAACAAAAGGCCGGGGAAGGCGGGGCAGTGGGGGGTGCGGTCCGGGCGCCGGCGGGGGGCGGGGCGAACTCTATAAGGGGCGGCAGCCCGGCGCGGCCCAGCAGGCCCAGCAGCCCCGGGGCGGATGGCACGGGCCGCTTGTCTCCTCCGCGCGATCTCGCGCGCCCTCCTGCTCCAGCTGCCTCTGCTGCTGCTGCTACTGCTGCTGCTCCTGCCGCCGCCGCTGATGGCCCGGGCCAGGCCACCGGTGAGTGCCCGCCTCTCCTCCCCGAGGGAGGGCTGGGCACGCGGGCTGGGCCCACTTGCTGAGCTTGACCCACCGAGCGCCCCAGTTATCCTAGCGCAGTCGGTCCCTGAAATGCCTTTTGGGTCGCTCTGGCCGGGATAATGAGCTTCCCGTCGTTGGCGGTGTGCAAGTGGAGCCTATCTGGTTAAGCGCGAATGTGCACGCAGTACTCAGCTTTGACCTGCTTCAGCTAGGGATGCTGGAGTGTTGTGTTGGTGGAGGTAGCAGAGGGAGTGGGTACCAGGGCCCCTAATTCATCACAGGAAAGAAGCAAAGCAAATCGGGGCGGGGGTTGGGGGAGCTGGCAGCCTCCGGTGGGCACCTTTGCAAGGTGTGTACAGTGGCTGGAGAATAAAGGAAAAGCTAGGGAAGGAGTAAATGGGGCCCAATTTGAGAGAGGTGCCTCAACCTGTAGGAGGCAAGTTTGGGAGACTTGGAGCCAACAGAGAATGCACCCTGAGAGGCAGTGTGTATGAGCAAAAGGTGGCATCAGCATGAAAGGGGGCACTGAAACTGGATGCTGTAGACCCTCAGGGAACAAAAACACGGGGAGAGAAAAGAAAGTGGGTGCAGAGAAAGAGGTAAAGGGTGAGGAAAGGGGATTGAGGGACTCACAGCCTCTTCCAAACTGGTCTTTGAGGCACCTGCCACAGTAGCAACTAAGCTAGGTTGGGGCTGGAACAGGGACCACTACAGACCTGCAATACTCACTGGGTACCCTGCCCTGCCCTCAGCTGCCAGCTGAGGCAGCCAGCCAGCTCAAAGAATGATGGGAGGAAGGTATGACAGCCAGGTGTTCTGGGACTGGTCCGTTGGTCCAGACACACTGGTCCACCTGCCAGATTTGGCCTTGGGCACAAAAGGGTTTGGAAAGGGGGGTGGGTATCGAAGGGGGTGGGTATTGTGGATCAGGAGCTCCTCAGGCAGAGTGTGGAGTTCCCTGCCCTAGAACTTAGAGCACAATCCCTAACAACCCCCCCCCAACACACACACACACACACACACACACACACACACACACACACTACTTGTCATAGCCACCAGGGGTTGAACTCATGCATTTGGGAATTGGAGAGGTCTGAGTTTGAACCATGAAACCTTGACTCCTTTATCTATAAGGGGACAAAGAAGGAGGGAGCCCCAGTGTCTACTGTTGGGCATTTAGTATAAAACAAGGCAAGGTCAGGCACACTGGAGAGACAGAGTTGTCAGCTGTAGTCATTCTGATGCTTGCACAGGAACTGGGGGCAAGCCTGGGGTAGGATCTCAGCTGAGGATCCATTACTCTATAGATGCACAGAGAGGGTCACCGCTAGCGTTTTTATCCCTAGACCTGCCACCAGCCAGGCCAAAAGAGTTCTGTAAATATTTATTCAGCCCAGCCCCCAGCTTTCTGAGTTTTTGAAAGCCCCACAACCTAGTGGCCCCGGAAGCTGCCTTCCCTTCTGGAGCCAGTGGGGGAGGGGTGAAGAGAAGCCCAAGGGTCGGCGGATGGGAGGGGAGTAGTGTGTGTGAGGGGAGTAGTCTGTGTACCCGTTGAGTGGCTGTTTCCTTGCCTTCTCAGATGCTCTCCTG